GCTAGCACCGCCTCCTGGCCTACTAGCAGTTTAGCACCCAGTCAGAATCTGGTACCTAGTGGCCTAGGAACTGTGATTTCCCAGTGACTAGCAGAAACCAGGCATGAGGGAGTGGAACGAAGTAGTACAGATGTACCAGTAAAAGAGTTTGATCGAACCTTTTTGCATTCGCATTACAGTTCCTCGTTGTTATTACTGGCTATAGAAGAACTGTCAAGAAAGCCAGGACACAACCGCACTGCCTGCACCACTGCAGTCATTGTTTGGTGCTTCTTCGGGCTTCTATCCAGACTATTGGGTCGCTGGTGACTCTTTCTCCACGATGCTCATAGTCAGAAAAGGGTTCCATCCTCGTGGCCTAGGAAAAGGTCTGCTGCTGCTGCTTATCTAATGTATGTGTCAGGTAGTTACTAGTTGAACATGATCATCTCCTGACCTTATCTCATTCACCATGATTGCCATGATATCAACTTTACGGATTAACTCGCCGGCAATGGCCCACTTGGAAGCTCCTTTCGATTCCGCAGTACCGTCGGGAGCGAATTGAACTTGGACAGAGTCCGAACAGGATACGGGAGGCAGATGGGCAGATGGGCAGATGACCTAATGGCCACCATCCAAAGTCAACTTGGACGGTACTATCAGCTTCGCCAAGGCCCTGTTCTGGTGCAGGGCATGCGACCGATCGTGAGGTTCGTGAAGTGTAGCATATATTTAGCTCTTCGGGCAAATTGGACGGACAATAATTCAGTTCCCCACCTTCCTTCTTCTGTTTTCCTGTCCTCCCAGTCCTTTCCAGTCCTTCCCCTTTCTTTTCCGACAATGAGGGGTAAGAGCCATCATCATCGATGATTTCGAGTCTTAATTTGGACCAAGTTAGATCCCTCAGGCAGCACTGCTCATGCTCATAGTCTGCTGTTTTAGTCTTCCCCTTCCACTGGGGACTCCTCCGCCATTGCCAATAAAGTCAGTCAATTTATAGGTCGGTAGGTAATCCACTAGGTGTGCCTAAGATACAGAACTAAGTGGCATCTGGTGAGTTAGCTGCTAATCGACTAATGGCCCTCGAGATCAAGCCGGGTTTTTACAACTTCAGAGGTCGGTATCTACTCTTGGCCGATACCCCGATCTAGGGAGGCTAGAGGACTCTACGGAATAGTCTAATTCAGATGGCTCTGTTGAAGCTTGGAGTTTGAGACAAGACGGAAAAGAGAATCTTCTCAGTCATCATCGTCCCTAAAGTTTCCGTTTCACTATCTCATTGATCGCATGCTTGTCATCTTTTGCCCAGATGACTAACTACATATCCTACCATAACAACTTCCCTCACTAACAGGTAGTATTGTTGTTTGTCTAAATCGTTAAAATGGTTGTCGTAGGCTGATCGGGCCATGGGTCCCACCAGAAACGATCTGACTTTGAGAGAACCGAACCATGGCTGCCTTCCATTTGACTTTCTCCGCCCGCTGCTCAACTCTGGTCAGACCGGCAAGCCCTCACCCCTCATCCTCATCCTCTTTCATCGCACTCCCGCTAAGCCAGCCAGCTGCCTTGATTATCAGGTTTGGTCGTCGCTGAGGGAGACAAACACTGGGGTCCACGGTGTTTTCTTTTCGTAAGTACCCTGCCAAGTCTTCTGGAAAAGTCTAATTGCCCTAATCCGGAAACTCCTCCATGCCCTATCCGAACGCCATGGATGTAATGCAGTCAGATCGGTAAGTCGGGATTAGTCCACACTGTGGCAGTGAACTACCTAGTATCCTTGGGGTACGGAGTCGAGTATCCGGACACATTTGGCAAATCACCTTGCCAGCCATCACAAGCAAGTGGACACTGCAATCATTAGAAAAGAGATGGCGGGTGAGGCGCCTCGACGCAAAGACAAAGCTTCGTTTCTCGAGTGTCTTCGACTCCGAGGTGAAGATGGTTGAGTTGACTGCTTTGTTTGAGTGCCTTCTGCTGCAGTGCTGCAGAATATGGCGGGTTGCGATCGGGAGCCGCGGACAAGCAACTGACGGCACTTTCGGCTTAAGGGATTTGAGAACACAAACAACGACTCGAAGATAGCGGGCGATCTGAAAGGGCTAAATTGCTAAACATAGAAAGCCTTGCATTGACCGTCCGTCCTTTCACCCAAAATCACCTCTGCAAGGGCAGCTGGACCATCATGATTGGGTGGCTAGTCAGGTGACACCCCACTTTCTGTAGCTCCTCAGGGTTTAGCGCACGAACTCTGTGTGGATTTGGCTTGCTTGAAGCCTCTGATTGCACTGATTGCACTCAACTGGAACTCACGCTGCCCTTGGGTCCATCCCGAGTCCGCATGGATATTTTCCCTACTGATTCGTTCTCATTCATCCAGCCGGTGGCACGATGGGAGGGGAAACACACTCAAATGCTATTTTGGTGATCGACCTCGAGGGTGAGAGGTAAGGTAGCAGCATGGTAGCACCAGACCAAGGGAGTGACCCTGCACTGTCACCATACCTTAGTTGGGAGCTATCACGGTCAAATATAATCGGCATAGAGCTTCCCCTCTCCTGCCCTCCCCCCGCAGCTGCATTGTTGATACCTGACCAACCAACAGAGATTGATCACCCTTCACGCGGCTCTTGGCCATGAATTATCTGATGTTGTCCCGCGAGTAACGATCGAATTAGTGGCTCACATGTGTCCATGTATATACATACGAAGTAACACCGGAGGAGATAGGGGAAAAGAAAAAAGAAATAGGATTGAGATCCTAGTGTGACGCAGTGGCACCTTCGCCACGGCGCATGGCTGAGGTAGGGCAATCCAGTCACGATCGCGCCTGCCTGAGGAAGATGCAGTGCCTCAGGAAGGCAACATTGTCTGAATGTGCTCGTACGTAACGTCGTAGAAATTCCCTCAGGCTTTCTGGCTTTGCCAAGATCGTGCCAAAGTCAAGCACAAACAAGCCCCCCGGCCGGCCGAAAAGCAGAAAGTACCACAATGGACTCCCCGGTCCCCACCATTCAGCCAATGTTTGATGAGGTCATGCCGACCAGGAGAAATACCGATTAAGAACGCTGATCGTTCCTTTTCAAAGGACATGAGAGTTTCAATGTTGTGAATTGTATGGATACAAAACACCCTATGGGCCTATAGTGTCGACCGTTCCGAGTTTCGATACTCGGAGAACTCTAAACCTCCTCAATAGCACGGGTAATCGACAAGATAACTTACTTATCCCAGCAGAACCTCCGATGGTGAACTTGCCTTCGGAATTGCCGTGCATGAATCGGATCTCGAACCAGATTCTTTTCCGATCTTGCCTCGGAAGTCCGACCACTGTACTCATGTACTCAGTAAGTATTGTTGTTTGCCTGCTGGACGACAGCTACGAGTACACTTATTCGTCACCCCACCCGACAGCGACAACAACCACAGCTGGAACCCCAATCTCGATCGTTTGAAAGGAAGGGGAAGCATGTCAAGCTTCCAAGTCCAATTCTCCATTCCTTTTCTTGGGATCGTCATGCTTAGCAAAGATAAAAGCTTATATCTTAAGTTCTCAACACTATCCATCCACGTTTCCATCACGCACAAATTACTTTGTCGGCGGATACGGATCTTTACAGATCGCCGTTTTGAAGCACATTGCGGGCAAAATTGAGGAGCGAAGACCCCGAGCGCTCAGCGTTGACATGCTAACTAGGCACCTGTCCACTGCACTAGTTGGCCGGTACCTACTTTAGCAAATTTAGACTACCAAAAGCCGAAAAACATGCATATTGTTGGTGTTATGTGCGGTGGGGGTGTCCTTTCAGCATGGAGATGATCCATTATCCAACCATAAGCAGCGAAGATCGGCAATCTCGTCCTACGATAGTGGCTCTCAGCTTGCCTCAATTGGGCTGAGTGCCGCCGAAGGAATGCGATCAAGCCCCAAAAATTGTCTTCTCCAGGGCGAACGGCAGTGGGCGTGTGGAGAGACGGGAGTGGTTAAGCATGATGGTGATTCCAGAAGGAATGAGATGTTCAGATGGAAGGCTTGTATAGAGTCAGCACCAGTCCAGGACCAGCTACAAGGAGTTCGAACTTACATGCATACAGGCGGTGGGAGGGTGGATACTATGCAGACACCACCAGATGCCGTGCAATCTGGGATCCAGGCAGAAACATGCAGTCATCTGATCTCTGCTACTGCTGCCCGCTGATGTATATCTCGCCAGCCGTTACGGAGAACTCTAGTATATGGTCAATCAAACATACTTTCAAAGGACCGCATCTTTGATTGTACCTCAGAGTTTGTCCCCACGGACTAAGAAAGTCTACTCAATTACCTTATCCTCGACGTCAACCGCCATGGATAGGATGATAAAATATCGGCCAATGCTCGGAGAATTCCTACTTCCTCCATCCACCCAGACCGTCATTGAAGCGAACGCACCACTTGATACCTGTGAAGTTCGGTTTAAGAATAATTCCGCAGACCAAACCAAACCATTCTTCTTGGTAGCCCGTTAGCCACTTAATGCGGGTATGGCGCTAGCTCCAGCTTCTAGCACCCATTTGACTACCTGTCTATCTCAATATTTGGGCTGGCCGCATTTATCCGAAAGACGGCGGTGCAGCCTGTCCAAACATCCAGAGCCAGCAAGACTGCTTGAGGATTGGTGGTAGGAGATGTCATCCAGTGATAATATTCCGCATTAGTAATATTGTATCCTGAGAGAAGATGAGATTTTCTCCACGTTATGCCGTGTCGAGTTGTTGTCGACTTGGATGTTCACTGTTTAGTGTTATGCCAAAGTACAGTGCACAGTACAGGCCTGCCTGCACCACGGGGCGTGCAACCGCACCGCAGTGGGTGGTCCCTGTCCCAGTTCTGCACCCTTGCCATTCAAAAGTTCAAACCAAACAAGTCGGAACTTCCCCGGGGTTGACCGGAGAAAAGTGATTGCCTAAGGCGGGTCCTGCTAGTCCCCCCCAGTTGCAACTAAAACTTGCCCCTACGAACCCCGGTTGGTCACCTTTAGAGGTGAATCTTCCGGAAGGCTCATGGAACGGAGACAACGGAGCCACGGGTCGATGCGCGTGGAAGATGGATAAAGCCACTATCGCTCGCTACAGGATAGTGCGGCTTTTCCGGTTCGGCCTATTGCCCTTTTCGAGATTCGGCATTATGAAATCTCTTGTGTCTACCGATTCTACCCTTATTTTTGGAATTCCCCTCGGATTCAGCTCGGAGAACAGACCAGCAAAGACGAATGAACTCGGAAGACTCCGATTGAGGCGATAGCATCGGTGGTGGACAGAGGGGTCACCATGACGATCTTCTACCTGCCGACCGAAGGTGCACTTATTGCCATTGACCGGGTAAGAGAAGGGGAGGGGAGGGGGAGCCGACCAACAAAAAAAAGAGAAAAAAAAAAAAACGATGTAATCAAGCATTCAGGGTCTTTTGATTACTGTGGGCAGCACGAACCCGTTAGCAGTGTCATCTAAATTGTGGTGGCAGCCTCGGTGCTATCTTGGCATCAACCATTGCCCGAAAGGATTGGACCCTGCAGCGGGTAAACTTACTGAGTATGTGATGGCACGATCAGTCTGACCCTACTCTGTCACCTTGGGCCTTCGATACGAGGAAGGACAAGCTGTGAGGTCACTGCTAATCTAAGAATTAATTATTAAATCATCACTGAAATTCTTCGATGATAGACTGTTCTCTAAGCTGCAAGTGAACCAGCTGCCCTTGCAGTGAAGGCATTGCAGTATTATAAGTCTGCCCTAGCTTCCCCGCGTCCTTACGTACTGTAAGTTACCAAGTTACCTCCTTCAATGTCTACTAGTAGGATCTCACCCCTTGAGCATTAGTCCGTTAGAACATGCTTCCTTACCACTATGTACAGTGCTGTATATGCAGTGCTCATCAACCCCCGGAGCTCTTCCCTGCCCAGCTACCTAACTGGTTTGGCTCAAGCTCAAAGTAAGTTATCACTTGTCGATGAGAGAGAGCCTGGCAGAAGTGACTCCACTCCATAACCACCCTAGACCTCTCCTGGCGAGCCTCGGTCGGCCCGGCCACACGACAACCCTTCGGTTTAGTAAGGGAATTTCTCCTTGGCGTCACTGGTTCTGCTGCATGCCGCACGGGATATTTTGATCCAGTAATAATCAGTGGGTAACTTACTGAATGATAGTTAAGCCGGACCCTGACCGAGAAAAAAACCCCCCCCAAATGAATAAATAAAACCAACAAATAGAAATTGTGGTAGTGGCTTCGCCTTGATCTAAATAACCTCAAGAGATTCAATAATACCAGATGATTACTGGTCGGTCGGTCCACCTGCCCGCCTGCCCGTTCTGATCGGCACGTTTTGGAGATTGGGGGTTTTCGTCGATCCGAGTGAGAGTGGTTATGGTTATTTCCCATGGCTGTCAGGAGCCGAATAGATGCGCTTCCTGAGTTAGTGTTCTATGATGTGATCTGAGGGAAATGCCGACCTCCACGTTTAGGCTTGATGCTTTGCTTATCGGTCAATCTATGTGAGGCCTACTTGTTTCTCCGCCCAGCCAGAAACAACCCGGATCCGACGGGGATAGGGGGCCCAAGGAAATTACAACAGTCAACATTTAATCTCACGGCCTTGATTGAAGTGCAATTCGATGTACAATGGGCTTGCTACCCCCGTACGTCGAGGGAAAGAATCACATAGCAAATCCTCAACAAAATCGAGAGAACTGGGTTCTTGCATTTGTATCTCCTCCCGTTGCTAATTCCCCACACATGCCGGCAAGAGTTCTATACTTGTCAATCTATACCAATATAGGCTTCCGAACCCTAACTGCCAACCCGCGATGTCTCACCAACTTCTCTCTCGTGGTCGGTCTCCGGTCTCTATCGACCAGCCCCAACACGTGAGCCCATTGAATAATCAAGTGGGCCATGGAGTAAGTTAGCACGGATTGACAGCCTCGGGTATTTGAATAGCCACCAGTTTGCGCGCCGACCGCAAGAGAAAGCAACAAACTTATCTGAATGACGATCGCATGCGACAAGCATCTCCGACCACCGGTTTTGACTCCATGTAAGCCGACTAGGAAAAGTCTTAGCTGCTCAATGCTCGTACGCAATGGAGCCACGGGTTCCTGGCTTGGTTTCCCGCGTGCCTGACTCCAAGAGAACCCCCGTAACCTGTTTATGTGCTGCAACGGAATTGGTTTCCTCCAGTCTACGGCCGTCTCCAGGTCCATCCGTTCCCTTGGGACAAACTGTGGCTGAGGGATGGATGTTCTTTTCTCTTTTTCTCCTCTTCCGGGATATTTTACCTAATTTTTCTTCCTCAGTCAATCCCCTCAATAGCATCTCTTACTATTCTTTTCTCTATTCTATTTTTTTCTTTGCGCGGCAGCCAAAAGAGAGACAGGAGGGAAGTGCCCGCGGGTGGTTGCAAGTGAAACAAGCTTGTCAATCGCGGCAGAAGCCAAGTGAGACTTGGGGGTCGCGCGGCTGAGGTTATTTTTGGTCTGACTTACTACTACCTACTACTTATTTAGTTGTTGTACTGTACGTACCATCCACTGCTCGTCTCGAGAACAGCATGTAGCGATCCATGGTAGGTCAAGCATTCAATTCATGATTCTAATATTGATGATCATGGATGATCTGCAAATATTTCTGAACTGGTATCGATATAGTACTTCATAGGGTAGTGCTAACTTCTTGCTAGCTCTAGAGAGAGGGGGGGGGGACAGACTCCGGCGATGGTGGCTAAGTACCTATACCAACTTGGGAGTACTTGGTAGTTACCTAGTACCGGTTACCGGCTCGATCGAGAGTGGTTATGTTTCTTCTCTGCGGGTAAACTACCTTCGTAGTAGTCTTACTTTGCTACTACTACTATCTCTCCTCACTATGGCTATTGCAACTAGGTAGTACCTAGTGAGAAGTGAAGACTGCCACTATCATGTTTAAATTGGAGGTATGGACTCAGATGGATGAGCAGATCGGCAAGAGCATTGAGAGACAGTTTCCTTCCTGTCGATTGAACTGGTGGGATTGCTTCGGCTCAGTAAGCTCAAAGCTACCTACCCAACCCTCTCACAACGCACGCATATCCTGCGTGGGCCGTTGTCTCATCGCCATCTCCCAAGAGGAGCTTTACCCCTGAGATACTGCGTTATGCGTGCTGGCTACTAATGGGCAAAGTGGGCTGAGCCATCATAAACTCGCCAATAAAGCTTTTGCGATGATCTGGCACATGGTCAAGTGAGGTTTAGCTACAGCACATCCCTAGAGGGCGAGGAAAGGCCTTCAACACTCCGCCACACTATAGAATCAAGAACCCAGACAACCAGGAGGCGAAGCTTGCTGCCCCTCCCCGTCTTCCTCCTTCTGGACTGCTGTTGACCCTGATCTTCCCTTCCCGTGCGCCATCGGCTGCCTGCAGGAAGGAATTCTTTATCTCACTTGTCACTGCCTTGTGCGTCGCACAGATCCCGGGTCAACACGAGCTGCCTAGGATCAGCCACTGAGCAACGGTGATTCTTGGCTTTGTACTGTACTTCTGTACTTTCCTCCCTGCCAGCTTCCCATGGACTGATCCTGGACCCTAGCAACCCCCGGCTGCAGCCTGCAGCATGCAGCCTGCAATGACATTTTGATCCAGGGTGTGTGTGTGCGCGCCTGTGTACAAGGATGAAAGGGACATCACGTCACTGTCCTTTGGTCTGATCAAATCTTGATCTAATTGTGATTGGGGGTAGCAGAGCGAACAAGACATTCTAGCTCCATTGCATGCCATCAGTGGCTGGAATGCGCTTCTCGGTTCTCTACCCTTGTCCCTCCTTTGCCTGTCTCATATCTCCATACCCAGAGTCGACCAGAACGATCATCCAATGGTGCCCTGGTTTGGCGACATCATCGTCAAGACCCCGCCATGTATAGGCCAGCTTACTGGTGGACTACCTAGTGCGAATCGCATTTTCCACTGACTGGTCCAAAGTCTCTGTATGGCGCCAATATGTCTCAGTTCCAAGAGGACTATCGGACAAAGACCGTCCAAGACTAGCAGCTCTGAACTCTGAGTTGAGACACCCCTACCAACCCTTCAGGTCTATCTCAGGGGACGGAGAGATGAGAGAAAGAGACAATATGGCGTGGCGTCCTTCGCATAAGGAGTATCTCCAGGGGATCCGACCGAGGCAATAGAGCTTCTTGTGTGCGGCATGGTCTCATAGTCGGCGACTGCCAGTGCTTTAGTCGGCGACTGATTATCTCCAGCCACTGCCCACAGGCGACTGCTAGTCCACACAGAGCGGAGTGTTCATCTCATTGGTGCGAAATGGCAGCGCACAACCAAAGCGATGTCACAGATGGAGGATTAGAGCCATGTTCGAGTGTAACTAAGCCTACAAGATGATGCTTCAGCATGTGTGCTTGCGAAAGGGGTATGAAAAAAAGCATTAACATACTTCAATCTCACGGTGGTTTCTAATTTCAACAACAAACCTTATATCAAAGCCTTGATCTGTTACTGTGTACACATCCAGGCCGTCACAATCAACTACTTCGCCAGAACAGGCCATGTTCCCGATCAGGTGGATTAAACGAGAGCGCAACAATTTGCATAACTATACCTTCAGGTATCTACCATCAAGCCCCAACCCAAGCCCATGAGGTATGTAGCAGCCTCTTCGTGACACAAAACGGAGCAAAGCCGCCAAGAGAACCCAACCCGACGATATTCCCAGTTTGTAGCATAAGGTACAGAGCAGTCGAACCAAGTCCAACTTAATTAACGTTAGTGTCCTTTAGTCATGGTATCTCAGGTTGACTAACTATTACCTACACGAACTATACGACAAGTCAAACGCTCGCCAAATCCACCAGTCAACTAGTCACCCTTGAACCGGCTTACATAGTACAGTAGGTACTTACTAACCAAACCATCAAATCAAATCACACATTACACGCCGAAAATAAAAACATCCTGTACCTATACCTATAGCTAACAAGTTATTCAACAACCTAACCAAATAAAAGTAGAAAGAAGTCAACAACCAAGACCAAAAAACGGTGCCTACAAGCACAGAGTAAATTATAGACTAAGAGCGAAGGAAAAAGAAAAAAAGTTATATATAGTATCATATATGGGTCCCCCCTCCCCTCCGAGGTCCCCTCCGTCCCCATCCTTTTTATTTTCTTTTCCGATATCAATTCGCTACCGGCCAAACCGTTTCCCCGCCACCCACACAATACGAGCTGCTGCCCGCCTCCCCCAAATTTTTCCCGAGCCTAGGAGCTTGGGGGAAGGACAGGCACCAAAGGGTTTGGAAGGTGAAGTGTGTGCTTGGGTGCTTGTGTGCTTGGGTATTTATCCTGTTTGGGGAAATCGTGGGTGTGTGGTAGGTGTTGATGCTCTCGTTTACCCCGTATACATTACCAAGATTTTGCGGTGGTGGGTTGTGGGCACTTACTCTGAGATTATTGTTGAAATTGAGGGGAGTGGATTCGTGACTTAGTATGAGTAGTATGGCACAGTAGGTACGGAGTAGGTAAACTAGTGTTGGGAGAGGGCGCCGTGCCTGCCTGCCTGCCTGCCTGCCGGTGGACTTGCGCGCGGGCCGTGGAGGACCTACCGGTAAATTAAGCGACGAGACTAAATTCACCCAAGCTTGTTTGTTGCACGTTGGGGCCTTATTCTCTACCTTGGGAGTAGGAAAAGGACAAGGGATGATGTTTGGGATAGCTGATTCTACTGAGATAAGTTGTGAAGTGGGATGTGTGTATGAAGACACATGACATATACTGTAGTCGGTCAGCTGATCTGTCACGTTGTTCCTGCCATCCTACATCCTACATCGATACATCCAATGATGTCTCACTTGCAGCCCTCTACACACAATGGAAGCCCTGAACCCTGAAACAAACAGCCTGTCATGCTGGGTTCATCATTATTTGCAACTGGTTTTGGCTAAATGACATGGGGGTAGGTAGGCATTAACAAAAGTAACGTGCGCTGACAGTGCAACAAAGAAGGGGGGGAAAAAGGGAACCACCACCACCACCACCGCCCCCAAGCTAATCAACAACCATCCTATCATCCAAATGGAAAACTCCCCCTTCAAGTCCCCCTCGACGTCACGCTGTGCTGGCCAAAGCGTATCCTGCGTCCGGGCTGATTGTCCATAACCAACCAAGCTGGAGCCCAATGCAGGTCCTTTGCACTGGCCGGAATTGCCAGAAACATGGCCAGTCAGCGTCACACTTGGGCCGTTTCCTCTGAAATCGACACCCTGTTGGCTGCGTGGACTAAACTGGAGAAAGACTGGGATATTTTTTACGGGTCTTGGCCAGAAATGGGATCGCTGATAACACACCACACGCCAGTCCAGCATAGCGTCACCGGTTTTGGTAGCATGTCTCACTCAACTCGCCACGGGGCTGCAAGCTGGTGGGACTGAGGCAGAGACTTTTTCATTTCGAAGCTATCTATCCGAAGATTCTTGTTCGAAGGCAGGGTCCTGCAATCAAGGAAAATCAACCTCGCGGGAGGGCTGGCTGCTAGTCAAAAGATAGTGGCGCTCTGCTCGACGGACCGGTTGTTATAGCAGAGAGGAAACAATCTGCCCCAGAATCGATACGCTCCCCGATTCACCTCCTTCACGGAGACCAACCATCGAGCGAAGCTGTTCTCAGTTCGGCTGGGATTGGTGCTCCGTAAATGAGTGACCTAAACCCCCATGTTAGAGGGGAGTGTGGCAATGGGCCAGTGGGGAGACAGCAGCTCACCCCCGCATGGGTTAGACTTACTTCATGGTATCTCTGTAGAGCATGCCAGTACCGCATCGGCAGCCCAAACCTCTTCGTAACCGTCTCCTTCTTGATCCTCACTAAGGCCTTCAAGTACAATGTGGAGAGGGTTTCACGGGGCAGGTAGATGTGGTCGCCAACGGCAACCCTGCCGGGAAACTTCCAGCCGTGGCGCTCATATATAACCTCGATGAGTCGCGTCAATGCGTCTGCCTGCCATGTCGCCAAGAGCTCGCGGTTGAATGCTTTTACGTGCAGTTCCAGGTTCATCAGATCGTGTCGGAGTCGATGGGTGTTCGTTCGTAGCTTGCCGATCTTTTGAATCAGCATCTCATTGGTCGTTTCCAGAGTGCGGAGAGTCGAAGAGTATCTCTGAAGGTAGGACGAACGGTCAGTTTCAAGTTTAATCTGAGGTTGTCTCCATATCTCGAGTTCAACTGAGCTGACGAACCCTCAGTGACACGTTCGCGGTATTGCTGTCAGGTTGAGTTAAGTCTGGTGACTGGAGGTGAGACCGGTAGAAGGACATGCCAGGCCCGTATCGCAGGACAAGCTCGGCGTTCATTGTGACACTTCAGTCACAGAATGTTGGAAGAGCTAGAGACTAGAGGATCAATGAGTGACCTTTTGGTATGAAAGATAAAGCCGTGGTGCTAACTAAGTAACGATGGCACTGTATGTACAGCTGTTGTGAAGGACCAGGTGCTGGTAAACACACTGTCGACTGTTGACTGCGCAACGGCGCAGCAACAGCGTTTCAACACAGGGAAAGGGCGACCTGCCTGTTTGCCAGAATTTACTGCGTGGCCCTGGAAGAAGTGACCCAAGAGACGCGCGCACAGTCAACCGTTGCTACATAACTACCTCTGTGAGCTGTGTTCCTTGCGACCTAGAGTATATCACTGATAGTTGGCGCTCAGCGTAACAGCTCATAGTTTGCTTCCCGACGCCTTGCCGAATTCGAAGACCAGCTTGCCGAATTGTTTGCCCTCCTTCATGTCCTGGAAAAGATCATCCAGTGCCGGAATGTCGCCCAAGTCGCTTTGAACTACTCGCGAGACAACAGGATGGATCTTTTGGCTCCTCACAAACTCGACCATCTCTCTAAACTCTTTGCGTGAGCCCATCGTAGACCCACGCACCTCAATATTCTTTAGCACCGCTTGCATCAAGAAAGGCATTTTGGGCGCGACCGTCATTCCATAGACCGAGAGGATGCCGCCAGCCTGCATCAGTCAGTATCTTCTTCGAGCAGACAGCAACGGGGCGCAGCCCACCTTGAGTAGCTTGACAGCCTTTTCGACTGCATCGCCTCCAGCACCGTCGATGACCGCATCGAAAGCCGCCTTTCCGGGGGGAAGCTGACCCAGCAGCTTTTTTTCCCATCCTTCCTCCTTATAATTCACACCACCCTTGGCGCCCAGCTCAACCGCCTTCTTGATCTTCTCCTCGCTCGAGCTGGTCACATACACGTCGACTCCCCTGGCCACCGCAAATCGCAGAACCATGAGAGCCACCCCACCTCCGATCCCCGTCACCAGGATGGCCGCCCCCTTGCCCGAATTTCTCTCGCCAGCCTTGACCACCAACGCCCGCCACCCGGTCAACCCCGTCAAAGGAAGCGCCGCGGCCTCCGCATCCGATAGATGTTCTGGCGCCTCCTCAACCTCGGACTCCTCGATAGCCACATATTCTTGCAGCGTCCCCTTGTTGTACAGTTTCGTTCCGCCCATGATCCGATACCCCTTGGGATCTTCCGGGCCATCCGGCGAGCTGTCCCAGCCCACCCCGGGATTCAGGATCACTCGTTTCCCCTGCCAGCGCTGCGGGTCAGCGACATCGGGACCCGCCCCGACCACCATGCCCACTCCGTCGGCACCAAGGGGGACATCGAACGTGACTCCCGGGTACAAATGTTGGCGTAGGAAGACATCGCGGTGGTTGAGCGAGGCCGCGGTCAGCTTGATGAGTAACTCGCGGCCCTGTGGGGTAGGGACGGCCTGTGCCTGCACGGAGAGGGGATAGTAGACTTGGCCCGGTTTGCCTTCTGTTTTGGTCAGGAAGACGGCCTTGGACATTTTGACGCAGTTGAAGTCTTTCGTAGTTGTAGGATATGTAGTTGTGATGGAATTGGGGTAAGGGAGGGGGCTTAGCGATCAGGGGGAGTGAGAAGATGAAAGGGCGGACTCAGCTTGAGTTATTTAGCAGTGCGGGGGAGCTTGGATTTGTTATCAAGTGCCGAGGATGTCCTTAGATCCGATCGTCACTAGAGCTGGAAGGAGTATATGCTTTGACTGAGCATTCTTGACGTAGAGAAATCACCAATTGCTATCATACTTCAAATAAGAGCATCTCTTCATGGAACTAGGTAGCAGATACAGCATATGGAGAGATTAATTGCCATTCAAAGTTCAATGCCATGGAAAGTCGTGTCGACCCTGCAATCGGAACCGAGGACGGATTAATATATCAACCTCAACACCAAAAGAGGAGACGTGTTCACCTGTCTCATCGACCAACGACGGAGATTTTCCATACAGGTGACTTAACATTCATGCTGCAGCCATGCCAATGCTCTACCTATCTTGCTCAGAGTATGATACTGCTGGCGATGCAACCACGGAGTCCTCGGTGCCTCAGGCCGACATAAATGATACACTCTGTAATCAGATTACCGGCACCGGTATCATCCCGGTATGGTATCTGGGCGGCGGAGGCAAACATTCCACACCAACGGAACCTTACATTTTGCAGTTGCAGTCTTAAGGGAATACTTCAATAGGGCAATACTGATCACCTCGACGACAACGTCGAAACGGGGTATTTTCTTCCAGTGTCTGCTGGGAGTTCTTGGCGGGCTGCGGGAGTATTCATTCTGGGCGGATTCTGGGACTTTTGATATTCGGCGGCCAGATGAGAAGTGTGACGCAGATTTATACATACAGAGTACATATGGCCAAGGTAGCAGAAGCATCGCGATGTTGAATATGAGTATGATGGGGGGGGGGGGGGGGAGGATGTTTGATGAGCAAAGCTCCCGATTTATGCACTGCTCCGAAGTAGACCCCCAATGCGAGCAAATTACAGGATAGATCGGCTGTGACGTGTCAGTTTTCAACTTCAATGCGATCGAGAGCATCGAGCATCTGGCTGTTGGTAATGCTCCGGCGAGATGCGATTGAGATTTTCCGCCAGAGGCCCTGGATAATGACCTGCCTGAACTCGGGCAACCGAGCTCCAATGAAGTGTACTGTACCATCATCACGAGATAACTATATGCCACCCGTCTTGCGAGCTCTTTTGGTAGGTAGGAGTATGTATGTACTTGTGAGCTTTCGATCTACGCATGAAAGACCCAGAAACGTCAAACAATAACAAGAACAACAACCGAAGCCAAGCCACTGATCATCAAGGTGTATCCAACCTCCAGCCATGAGAACAATCCCGGCTATCACGTCAACCTCCCCACGGCCAAACTACCTTAAGGTTTTAAGTGATATGGTCAATCAAGTATATCTGCACAAATCGGTCCAGTGCACAGTACAAGACCAACTACCCAGCCAAGCAAGCAAGCAAGCAATAAAAGTATACTTCCAAGCCCGGCTCGGTGGGAAAAGCGACAGAAATTACTTAAACCGGGCAAGCGACCAAACCTTAAGGGCGATTGGATTTCCGCTGTAACCGGCCGAGCTTTTTTTGCGTCTGGATTATTCTTGATGGGTAGGGAAGAGTGCTTGATGATTGATTGATTCCGTGGTGGCTGATGCTGATGCTGGCCGGACTCGGAGAGTGGAGTAGGGCTGCTGTTTGTGCTGTCGCTGTTGCTGTTGCTGTTGTGGTTGCTGTTGCTGTTGTGGTTGCTGTTGCTGTTGTGGTTGCTGTTGCTGTTGTGGTTGCTATTGCTATTTGCGTTTCTGCGTGAAGCAAAAGCAAACTGCCCCAAATTTAAGGACTATGTAGCTAACTTATATGCGTACCGGTAGATTATTCCTTCCGGAGAACTACCCATCGATTCCGCCAGCCTATTCTTTTTTCTTTTTTTGGGGGGGGGGCTTATGAGTGGGAAAGTACTGTACAGTACGCAAAAAAAGGCAAAAAAAAAAAGAAAGCGACACGTCGAGGAAGAAGCCGAAGCGTTTGCGGCTGGTGTGTGGGCCAGTCAACGTCGGGGCGTGGTCTTAAGAGAGATGGAGTCGGCTGGGGAAGAGGTCGGGCCACGCACCCGATCCTGGAGGTCGAGCTTTCCAGTAGTAGTACTGCAGGTACTGCCGGTGTAAACAGTGATCGTCTCTATTCTTCGATCCGCGTGGAATACACATGATACAAAGATTGTGCTTGCAGAGGATGTGTTGTGCATGGGTGGTCACCACCGTGGTCACCATAGTGGTCTACCCAGGCTTTGCCTGGGAGCGGCACTGTGTGTTAGGTTATGAGGAATAGGGGCCTGGCAACTACGAGTGTAGTGTGTAATAATGAGTGAATGAATGGATTGACATCAACAATCATTAAGGCAAGGTCGAGAATTTACCCTTACTGATGAGGTAATGTACTTCAATTGACTCGAGGGTGGCTGGTATCCAACGTATGGGGAAAAAGGCGAGAAAAGCGACGAAACACGAAAACAGTCCCCCCTTATTGCCACATCCCACCGCTCATTCGCCGCTCAGCCCTTGGCTCATTTTTCTCACTCTTGAACTTCCCAAACTTGCACCAGGAACTGATCCTTTCGATCTTCTGATCTCGAACTCGAACTTCGTTCAATCCCCTCGTCTGCTGCTGCTGCTGCTGCTCCGAACCTGCAATTCCTCCCACAACCTATTTTCGCTCTACACAATTCTGTCGCCGTCTCGATCAACTTGGGCCTGGTATGTCTCTCTCTCCTGCTCTCCCTCCACCATCGAAACCTCGTTTGCCTCCCTCCGCTTCCTCCCCCCCCATCTTCGTCCCTCGGGTTCGTTGGCTGATCGATTCTCTCTTCTCTCCACACAACCAAACAGCTTTGCGTCCTTGTTTCCTACCAAACACATCCCTCTAAAAATTTTCGAAACCAACGCGTTCGCCTCACCTCTGACCGTCGACCTTTCCCTCGATTTGTCTTTCATCTGATCTGCTGGACTCGGCCTTGTCTTTCCCGTCTCAACCAGCTATCCTCTTCTTCCATAATGCCTACGCCACTTCCCTCTAGTTTTGCCTCAGCCGCCGCCGGCAACATCCACGACTCTTCCAACCGCAGAGGAGATGGAGCTCCCGGTGGAGAATGGTATGCCTGCCCCCGTTCCTTGCCCAACACCTTGTCGCGCGTCCGTCTCCTCGTTTGCCAGCAGCCCCATCCAAATCCGGCCGGGGGCCTCCTAGTTTTGTGGTGGAACCAGTAAAACTGACAACTCATTCCTACTTCCGCTGGGGATGCACAGGTCTCGCACTCGCATGAACGGAGCAACACAGACCTTCCGCCGCCCCTCAGTCGCGACGAACCCGTCGCATAACCGGGATACGAGTCAACCGAACTCGGCCACCACTCCCACCGTCGGCACCTACACCCCCCCGCATATGTCCTCGAACTACCAGTCCAGCGCACTCCGGAACGGTGCCACCACGGAAACTCGTTATTCCAAGGACCTGCTGCTAAATCTCTATAAGAACCAACGGGACACCGGCTCGCTGGGGAAGAATGTCGCAGAGTACTTCGTCGCCGACTGGAATCCCCACTCCTCCGAAACCTCCCCCGTCAATGGAGCATGGGGCAAGCGCGAAGATTCCAAGGACAATCCGTCCGGTCCGGAGGTCTGCTGGGATCATGGGGGCCATGTCGAGCCGCTGGGTCTCGTGGAACCGACGGACGACGAGAAAGAGGTGTGTCTTTCTTACATGTTATGCCCCGCCACATCACCTATGGACTATTTTCAACTTATGTCGGGGCATCTTTGCTAAATCGTCCAGTTGTTTACCTCCTCCGTCAACTCTCCGCTCAAGCCGCCACCCACGAACGCCTCGAAAGAGAACACCGCTACCGGCGCGGGAGGTCGCAAGCTGTCCATTTCCCAGGGTCATATGAACAACTACAACACCTCCTCTCCCAGCGCTGGACGTCCCGGTCCCCGGCGTCGGGAGACGGCCGATTCACCCGCGAATCCAATGTCTCCTACCACCAGTGGCTCTCGCTTCTTCCGTGACGAACCGACCACGTCCACCCCGCCTCCCTCACTGCTGCGCCGCAAGACCGACTTCCGCGATACTTCCTCTTCCACTGCTCGGTGGGAGGAGAAGGAAAAGGAGAATCTGGGTAAGGAGCCCAGTGCAGATGTCGCTTCGCCATTTGGCTCGCTGAAGCGGAGCTCCACCAATCCGTTGAGCGTGGCGCCAGGTGGGCCAAGCTCGCCTTGGGCGGCCGCCTCGCAAAATGCCAATAATTCACCGATGGGTGCGTTCGGATCCTTTTCTCTTGGACCGGGAACGAGCACCACCCCCACCACGGAGAAGAAGGCTGGGTTTGGCAGTCTCCGTGGAGAAAGTCGCCTGAAGGGACTCTTCTCCAAGGATAGCTCCGAGGACATGGCGGCGGCGGCTCTCAAGGAGAAGTCGTCTCTTAGCAGCCTGGAGCGCTTTGCTGATGTGGAGGGTGAGAAGCGCGCGCAGTCCCCTTGGGGCGAGCCTGTCAAGACCCGCACTGGTCGCAGTGAGACGAACCCATTCCAGGAGGAGCTTCGCAGTGGCAGCGCGGCGCTTGGGGGCTCTCAAGAGATCAATCCCCAGCCCCAGCCCCCGTCCGACCATTTGGGCTTTGGGGCGTTTGGCATGACCTCGAGCATCCCCGGATTTCGGGAACTGATGCAGAGCCACGAAAATTCCCGGAACCCTACCCCGAGTCTTCTGCAGGGACACGAGCCTACTAGCCCGACCAATACGAACCCCTACCAGAGCCCCCACGGCGACCGACACGAGGTGGATGATGTCGAAACCGACGGATCGGATATTCAAAACACCACCCACCCCGGTATCACTGGCCTGCGCGATACCTCCTCCGCTTTCGGCTCCATCCGACGTGTCGGCTCGGGCATGGACTTGCCGTCCATTGACCGCAGCCAAACATCGAGTGCAGCTGGAAACAGAAGCTTTTCAAGCTTGGGCGGCCTAGGTGGTCTTCCTCCCATTGGAGGCGCTGCTGGATGGCCCACGAGCGCCGCCGTTGGCACCCCCACGCGCGAACGATCTGCGTTTGCGGGCGGCTTCGGTGACCCGATCTTCGGTACCATGGGTGACCTGCAGTCTCCAAGCTTGTCGACGCTGGGAGGAAGCGGTCTGTTCAGCCCTCATGCTGGGATCACTGGAACGGGCAGTCTGGGTCGCTCGAGCAAACTAGGCTCGCTCTTCCCCCCTGCCATGCAAGAGCAGATGCAGAGTGACCAGATCCGGCCCGATCTAGGGGCTTTGGACGAGGCTGCCCGGCAATCTGGGGAGATCTTCGACGGACTTTTGGCGGATCAGGGCCCACTGACGCACGGAGCAGATCTACAGCCTATCGATAAGACTGTGCAGGGCGGCCAGCCAGCCACTTCGACTTCTCAGACTCCTGTGTCTGCCGTCGGCTCTGGTCCTGGCTCCATGGTTCCTGATGCGCCGCAACCCAGCCAGACCCCCGGAAATTCTGGGTCTGTCCCCCCGGCGCAGCAACGGACCATGGTGATGCCTGACCGCATGCGCTGGATCTACCGTGACCCGCAGGGTAACATTCAGGGCCCATGGACTGGACTCGAGATGCATGACTGGTTCAAGGCCGGATTTTTCAGCCCAGACCTGCAGATCAAGAAGCTCGAGGACCCCGAATTTGAGCCGTTGGCACAGCTGGTTCGTCGCATTGGCAATTCTCGCGAACCGTTCTTGGTACCTCAAATCGGCATTCCTCACGGGCCTGACCCTGCCCCCGGACCATGGACTGGCAACACTAGTGGCACGGCGCAGCCTCCCTTCCCTGGCAGCTTCCCTAGCTTTGGTACCACCCTGACCGCCGAGCAGCAGAACGCTTTGGAACGTCGCAAACAGGAGGAGCAGTACCTGATGGCCCGCCAGAAAGAACACTTGGCTCAGCAGCAGGCTCTGATGAAGCAGATGCAGTTCCAGGGCGTTCCCCACTCCATCCACCCTCATCAGCTTCAGCACCATTCCAGTGCTCACAGCCTCCACAGCCAGCCTAGCTTCGGTAGCATCGCTTCTCCGGTCGGCTTCCAGCCCTCACCGATCCAGGCGCCGATGCAGCAACAGCAGCAGCAGCAGTCCCAGCAGCAACCTCCGTCCGTTGCCGGCTTCTTTGATGCGGCTGCCGCTATGCGAGGCAACCCTCTGCCCAACGTGGGTCCTCAGATGCTTGGCACGGATCTGGGCCAGGATCAACTTCCTACTCTTCTGGACCGCCTGAACATGAGTCGGCCGGATCCGTTCGCCTTTGGTACCCCCAGCTCTTTCGCTGCTCGCCAGCCTGAAAGCCTGTTCCATCAGCAGCAGGTCGCTTCGATGCTCCAAGATCGGGCCCGTCTGCAGCAGGAGCAAGAGCAGTTTGATAGCACCCAGGGTGATGCTCTCTTCGACCAACAGGCACGTGAGGAGCGCCTTCGTCAGTTCCATGCCCTGCGGGCACAGGAAGCCGAACTCGGAATGCAGACTGTCGAGGGTCTTCCTACCCACCCGGCCGAGTCCGTTCAGTCTCAGATCCCTGAGGAGAGTACTGAGTTCGATACCCTTGAAGCCGCTCCCCAGGAGCCTCCTCTCACTCTGTCGCAGCAGGTCCAGAAGGCTGCCACCGCTCAACGCCAGCAGCTGGAGCAACAAGAACAGCAGGAACAGCAGCAACGCGAGCAGCAGCAATTGGAACAACCGCAGGCGGGCTCCGTCACCGAGGCCGCTTGGATGAGCAAGGGCGATAGCGCCATGATGCCCCAGCCCTTCCCTCCTCCGCCCTCTGCCTCCCCTCTGCCGGCTCCTGCCGCTCAGCGCAACCGCCAGAATGTGGCCGAATCCCTGGCTGCCAACTCTCGCTCCCAGACGCAGACCCCGGTCGAGGCGCCCACCACGTCCATTGCGCCGTGGGCGAAGGAAGCCAACGAGGTCCCCAAGGGTCCTTCTCTGAAGGAGATCCAGGAGGCTGAAGCTCGGAACGCCGCCCAGAAGGAGGAGATTGCGGCTGCCGCTCGTCGTGCTCAGATGCTTGCAGAGCAGGAGCGCCTCAGCCAGGCGGCCCAGGTGCAAGCGCCTGGCCTGCCGTCGACTGCCAACTGGGCGAGCGCCGGATCGCCGTCGACCCCGACTTCCTCGGGTTCCGTCTGGAACAACAAGGGCCCTGCCGCTCCATCGGCTGCTGCCAAGAAGACTTTGGCTCAGATCCAGAAGGAAGAAGAGGCTCGAAAGCAGCGTCTTGCCGCTGCGGCCGCTGCGGCGCAGACTGCTGCTGCCAGCCCTCCTACTGCTCCCTCGTCTACTGGTAAGCGTTACGCCGATCTGGCCAGCAAGGCTCCCGCGCCGTCTCCTGTGAACACGGCTGCCTCTTCGGGCGCATGGACCACCGTCGGTGCCGGCGGCAAGGCCAAGGCTCCTCCTGCTGCTCCTTCGGGACCGCGCGCGACCACTGGCGTTGTGCCTGTGGCCGTTTCGCCGGTGAAGCCCAAGCCCGCTACGGTTGCCACGCCTCGCACCGTGTCTGTGGGCCCTACGCCGCCCACCAACCCTAACCGGGCGGTTGAAGAGTTCACCAAGTGGGCCAAGTTGGCGCTGGGCAAGGGCCTGAACAGCAACATCAATGGTAAGTGCTTTTCCTTTCTCGGGGTTTATTGAGCTGGAGCTAATTGCAATGATGTAGTGGACGACTTTGTGCAGCAGTTGCTGTTCCTGCCGGCGGAGGCGGAGATCATCTCGGATTCGGTGTATGCCAACTCGCAGACTCTGGATGGACGGCGGTTTGCGGAGGAGTTTATCCGTCGGCGCAAGCTGGCGGACAAGGGGATTGTGGACCCGGTGGCGGCGAGTGCGTTTGCGGAGCCGAAGAACGCGGGCGGGTGGAGCGAGGTGGCCAAGAAGGGGTCGTCGAATGCGCACCGGGAGGAGGATGCCAGCAATGCGGCGTTCAAGGTGGTTGCTCCGCGTAAGAAGGGAAAGCGGTAGATTGTGGGTGTCAGGGAACTGGATGCAGGATGGTGACGGTGAAGGTGTATCTTATCAGGATCTATCCCGCATAGCATAGATCGGGAACTTATCTATCATGTGATAGCCACGCCCTTCGATTACAGTACATGCCCCTCTATGCGTCATTGACGAATTCGAGAGGAGGGAGTATAAATACATCTACATCGGCACTTACTTGGTACAGTCCAGATTCTCCTCGTACCTGATAACTCCTTCCCATCAACCCAGAAAACATTTGAAGAGCCTAGAGGATGTCACCCACCACCCCCTTCGGCGCCTCGATGCGCCAACACTTCCTCCTCGACCCGAACTATAGAAACCTGAACCACGGTCACTCCCACTGACAGACACTATAAACCCCCCCGCCCCAACACACAAAACTAATAAATGATCGATCCCCAGGCTCCTTCGGCACGCACCCCCGCCCCGTCCTCGCAACCCAACAAACCTACCAGCGCCTCGCCGAGCTCTCCCCCGACCAATTCCTGCGCTACACGCAGCCCACGGCCCTGCTTCCCGCGCGCCACGCGCTCGCCGCCCTCCTCAACTGCCCGGTCCGCGACCTCGTCCCCGTCAAAAACGCCACCACCGGCGTCGCGACCGTGCTGCACAACCTCGCCCCGCACTTCGTGGAAGGGGACACGCTCCTCTACTTCTCGACGGTCTACGGCGCCGTCGAGAACGGGCTGTTCTCGCTGCGCGACCATCTCCCAGGTCCCACCCTGCGGCTGCGGAAGATCGAGTACGCGTTCCCGATCACCCCGGCCGAGCTGGTGCAGCGGTTCCGGGAGGCGGTGCGCCAGGTGCGGGCGGAGGGGTCGCGGCCCCGGATCGCCGTGCTGGAGACGGTGGTCAGTCTGCCTGGGGTGCGGTTCCCGTTCGAGATTTTGGTGAAAGTGTGTCGGGAGGAGGGCGTGTGGAGTCTGGTGGATGCGGCGCATGGGGTCGGCATGATTGAGTTGGATTTGGGGACGGCGCTGGTGGATGAGGGCCGGGATGGGGGCCAGGATGGGCTTGGGGATGATGGGCTTGGGCTTGGGCCAGGGCCAGACGGGTGGGGGAAAATCGGGGGCGTGGATTTCCTGACCAGTAATTGCCATAAGTATGAGTTACCTTCCTTCCCCTCGCTTTCCTTCCCCTTACTGCCGGGGGCTGCCCGGGGGCTTCCCGGGGGGACGGGGCAAGCTGCGCACCCCCCCCCCCCCACAAGACTTACAGATCAGAGGAGCATAATGCTGACAGTTGATGCGCACTGCGCACAGGTGGCTCTACACCCCCCGCAGCGTGGCCCTGCTCTACGTCAACCCCGCCCTGCAGCACCTCATCCGCACCACCCTCCCCACCTCCTGGGGGTATATCCCGCCTCCATCCGAGACGCCGGCGAAGCCCTCGCTGATGGCGAGTGCGGGACGGAAGACCGCGTTCGAGGCGCTGTTCGAGTTCGTGGCCACGGCCGACGATACGCCGTATCTGTGTGTGCCGGCCGCCCTGCAGTTTCGGGAGGAGGTGTGCGGCGGCGAGGCGGCGGTTTATGCTTATCTTGAGGAGCTGGTGAATGAGGGGGCGGATCTCGTGGCGGCCGGGTTGGGGACGGAGGTTCTTGGCGACGGCAATGCAGCAGGTAAGAGGAGTGCGTGGAGGAGGTGTGCCATGAATAATGTGCGGTTGCCGGTTAGGGTCGTGCAGACAGTAAGAGGCGAGGAGGATACTGCCGGTCTAACAGCGGAGCTCGTCCCCGCGGTGGTGGATTGGATGCAGAGGAGGCTGGTCGAGGATTACCGCACCTTCGTGCCCGTCTTTGCCCATGCCGGTTGGCTGTGGGTGCGGCTGTCGGCCCAGGTCTATCTCGACAGGAGCGATTTCGAGTGGCTGGTCCCCGTGTTGAAGGAGTTGGTGGGTCGCGTCAAGAAGGAGTTTAAGCTGGGAAAGGTGTCGTCTCACCTGTAGCAGCAGATGCAACAGATACAACAGACTACATAGACTAAGCCCATCCACAAAATTCTGCAATGATATACAACTACGCGAATATATGCAGGCCGTAGTAACAGCATCACAAACACAATCAAGTACCAGCAGAAAACACGCAACTCGCAAACCTAGCTATCCACTCACGTCTCAATCAGATCCGCAGTCTCGCCCTGGGTCTGCTCCGCCACAGTGTTGTCTCGCGTGTCCTTGTTGGCGATCTTGCGCGCAGACCGCGCATAGAACTCATCCAGCACACGCTTGGGGATACGGTTGAGCAGGTCCTTGGGGTAGATCCGCAGCAGGTTCCACGCGATGTCCAGCGACTCGAAGATCGTGCGCGACTCGTACGGCGACTGGCTGATGAAGGTCCGCTCGAACTTGTCCAGGAACTCCAGGGAGAGCTTGTCCTCGGAGGAGAGGGCCTCCTCACCGACGACAGCCTTCATGGCGGCTAGACACAAAAGTTAGCTATGACCACATCTCAACACAGCACACAAACTTACCAGCATCACGACCAATGGCGTACTTGGCGTACAACTGGTTGGACACATCCGAGTGATCCTTCCGGGAACGGCCCTCACCAATAGCCGACTTCATCAGACGGGACAGCGACGGCAGCACGTTGATGGGCGGGTAGACACCCTTGTTGTACAGTTGACGGTCAATGAAGATCTGTCCCTCCGTAATGTAGCCAGTCAAATCGGGAATGGGGTGAGTGATATCTGCAATCCATCAGCATTGGCCCATCGGCATATGCACCACCAGATAAGCAACTGACCGTCGTTAGGCATCGTCAAGATAGGAATCTGTGTGATGGATCCGTTACGGCCCTCCACACGACCGGCACGCTCGTACAAGGTCGACAAGTCAGTGTACATGTAACCAGGGTAACCACGACGACCCGGGACTTCTTCACGAGCAGCCGAGACCTCACGCAGAGCGTCACAGTAGGCAGACAGATCAGTCATGATGACCAGGACGTGCTTCTCCAGCTGGTAGGCATAGTACTCGGCCGTGGTCAGCGCAAGACGAGGGGTGATGATACGTTCAATCCTGGACGCGGGCTGTCAGTTCCGCACGCACACACGCACACAAAACCAATCACATACGTAGGGTCGTTGGCCAAGTTCAGGAAGAGCGTCACGCGCTCCATACTGCCGTTCTCCTCGAAGTCGCGGGTAAAGAAACGGGCCGTTTCCATGTTCACACCCATGGCGGCGAAGACGATGGAGAAGTTCTCCTCGTGTCCGTCGTGGACGTCCTTGGTGGGGCGCTTCACCAGACCAGCCTGACGACAGATCTGGGCGGCGATTTCGTTGTGTGGCAGACCGGCGGCAGAGAAGATGGGGATCTTCTGGCCACGGGCAATGGAGTTCATCGTGTCGATAGCGGAGATACCAGTGGAGATCATTTCTTCGGGGTATACCTGCAGACCACCAAACGCGTTAGCCACCTGGGATGTGCATGTCGCGGAACAAAAGGCGAGGCTCATACTCGGGAGTAAGGGTTGATAGGTTGGCCGTTGATATCCAGGTAGTCCTCCGCCAGCACCTTGGGGCCCTTGTCAATCGCGCGACCGGAGCCATCGAACACACGACCCAGCATGTCTTCGGAGACACCGAGCTTCAAGCTGTGACCGGTAAACTCGACTTTCGTCTAAGGGAAGTCAGCACGGCGGTTGACTCAGGCTATGGCTATATGACAGCGAAGTACCTTCTTAACGTCGATGCCAGACGTGCCTTCGAACACCTAGTATGACCGCATTCCGATGTCAATGTACCGTCCGATAAATCCACCTCCCATTCTCTGCACTCGGAAAGTCCGCACCTGAACGACTGCTCGGTTTCCTACAGCAAGGGTAAGATACATCAGCGGATCTGATCGTTATCTCATTCATCCATCCACACATACCTCGAGCTTCCAGAACCTGACCCGACCGCTCGGTCCCATCAGGGAGGGTCAAAGACACGATCTCATTGTAACGGGGGAATTTGACCTAAGCCATCGTGGATTAGCTGGAATTCCCATCCCTGATATACCTGGGGCCGGCCAGATGACGTGCCGATGGAGACGGGCCCGTACATTATCCAGAACGACCAGCGGTCCGTTGATACCTCCAATGGTGTTGTAGCGGATGCGAGGCTTGACGCTGGTCATCCGGGGGTCGACGAAATCGGCCATGGTCGAAGAGTCCACCACAGGGTGCTATTTGAACCAGAGACGATAGACAAAGAAAAGAGGGAAAGGGTGGAAGTGGGAAAATGCGGACGAGGAGGCGGAACTGAGGGGAGAGGAACAGCTCCTGGTGGTGGTCGGGAGTGTCGACGTATGCTTAGGCTGGAGCCCGTGGGCAGTTTGGCTGGTTTGCCCCGTTTGGCTCCACGTCCTCCCGGGGGGCGGTGTGGAACCTTCCCACGTGATGCTCTCTCGCCTACGATCTATAACTTAGTACAAAGACTTATTACGATCAAGAATACGATAATCAGTCATGTTCTTGCAGAGATAGTGAAACTAGTGACTCATACATCCCACAAAGCCATCTGCGGCCGCCATAAAATGTCCCCATCCGTGTTAGGCTTCACAATCGAGTCAAAGAAAATAAAACGAACGCCAAGCGAAATGAGATCATCAGATCAGCTCGTCATGAATGTCATACTGATACAGCTGGAGAAAGGAAAAGCATCCACGAGAAACGCGGGCTAGAATCGTGAGATAGATACGCCAAACCGCCGTCAAACCGTCATGGTATCGTGTGCAAAAACAAAGAACGGGGAAAGCACATGGAGAAAAGGTCAAATTGCAGTCATTCAGTCCACTTTGGCCAACGCTAGCTTCTTGGGCGTTGTTAGATTGTTGGAAAGACGGACGTTCATCTTCTTGTTCTTGGTTTGTTTCTTCAGTTTCTTGCGGGCCACCATCACCGGTACCGATGAATGCATGACCAGGTAGTTCGAGAACGATCCGAGGACCACCCTGTTGTAAACAGTCTGATTAGTTTGCAGCCCATGCAGGTCGATCGCAGAGTTCTTACCCTTTGAGTGCACTTCGTCCTCTGGCCCCAACAATTACCAGCGTAGGATCCAATCCATCAATCTGAATACTCGGTCAGCAACTGCGTGCACCTCGGAGCAGGATCAAGCTTGACTCACAGCTTCGGTGATCATGTGCTTCGGGCTCTTGCAATGAATCACCTCTACCGCCACGCGCACCTGCAGTAGCGTCTTTCGCAAGAGACGCACGCACGTCTGTGAAATGACCTCCACCGCCCGTACGCGCTCGGATTCCGCCTTGGACATGCCTCGTGCATCGACCGAGCCCGGTTTGCTGTCCGTGCCGGTCCCTAAGCGATTGAAGAAGGTTCGAGGGAGGTGCGAGCTGGAATCATTCTGGGATTTCGCCGCCGTCTCGGCCGTTTGCGAGCCGACCACCGCAGCAGCATCCTGCATGGCTTTGGCCCCATCCCCAATCTGCACGGCTGCCGGAGTAGCGGTCTCGTCGTGCATGGCACAGACCGCAAACATTGTATCGCCGTCCCGCAGAATGGTACCAATTGTCCACTCCAGAGCATACACCGATTCCTCACTGAGGTCAGTCGTCACCAGATACTTGCGCTGGCGGCGACGAGCGCCTTCCTCTTCGTGTATGCTGGGATAGTCGCCGCGGATGATCGTCCGGATTGATCGGTTGTGCACCGAGCTATCGATCGCAGACATTTCAATGCTGAGTTTCTGAGCGCGTTTGATGTCGCACAACTCTGCCTCGTCCTCCGAGCCGAATGGGGTGTTGGTCGCTGAGGCAGAGTCGAAACTCGTTCGGGGGCGGACATCAGGCTTCGAGACGGGGCCTGTCTTGGCTGAATGGATCAACTCAGACTTCCCTGTGGAGTTGTTGCTGGGTTCTGCAGCTCACAATCAGTCAGTATTAAGTAGCGGAACAACGAGACGAGAACGTACGAAATACCGGAGCCGTCTTTGTTGTCGTGCGCGGAGCGATCCTGGCAGGTTCATGGTCGACCGTCTCTTTCCGCCCTCGTTTGTTCTCTTCCGACTCGCGATCCGGACTCTCATCATCGCTGGAAGACATTTCGTCACCGTCCTCGTCACTGGTCTCGATCGGATTGTTCTCGCTGTCGTAGTGGTCCTTTTCGAGCCGCTGCTCTCCGGGAGCCGAGGAATTAGCATCCGCCTCTGGTGGGGATTGAGGAGCTGGTGGAGGCGGGACTGCTGGCTGGGATGTTGCTGGAGGGGTCGGAGGAGGAGAGACCTTCGGGGCGCTCCCAACCGCCACACTCTCTTTTGGCTTCTCGTTGGGGGTTGCTTTCAGCGGTTCTTTAGTGCTTTCTGTAGGCTTCTCTGCCTGTTTCTCCTTAGGAGACTCTTTACTCTCTTTCAGCTTTTCCATCGGGTTCTCATTCGGGCTCTCCTTCGGACTTTCAAGTATAGGCTTTGCGGTGTCGACCGACTGATTGCGTGAACCGGGGCTCAGCCAGCGACGCTTTGGCGAGCTGGAGCGGGTCGAGCGGAGCGCCGGAGTTCGCGAGTCAAGCGAGTTGCCTCGGGATGAGGAACTGCGGCCAGAGTCCCGACCTCTGACAAAGCTCGGGAACCCAACCTTGATGTCGAGGCCTGACATCACGGCGGCCATGCTTGGCAGACGATTCGAGGAGGAAGCGGCCGGAGGCTTCTCCTGAGATTGACTGGCACGACGGGCGCTGGGAGGCATATCGAGAGAGGAATCCCAGCGAATGCTAGGGCCTGATTTGTGCGTGGTTGTGGTTGCGGCTTGGGGGCCTCCGGACTTGTCGCTGCTGTCGGACTGAACGGAGGATTTCCTCGGTGCCGGTGGTAACGGAGGAGCCACCAACGAAGTGGTCCTGGGCGGCGGAGGGGAGGTGGTGGTCGTGGTGGTCGTGGTGGTCGTAGGTGACGTCGAGGGCGATGTGGACGAGGAGGGAGGGAGGGGAGGAGGTTTAGAGGAAGTGGTGGGAGATGATGCAGTGGAAGTGGTGGGGGTCGAAGAGCGGCGGGGAGCAGAGGTAGTAGTAGTGGTGGTAGTATTGGAAGCGGGATAAGAATTGTAGTGATGGTGATAATTGCGGCCCGAGGGGGAAGTCACGCCCACTCCAATGCCGGCGATGGAGCCATGCCGGGGAGGGACAAAGCCTGGACTGGGAGCGATGTCCAGCATGCTCCGGCGTGGGTACCAAGAGGAATTAGTGTGGTTGCCTTCCCCCGACTCCCGCAGTAACTCCCGGCGTTCTTCCTCCAGTGCCGTCTCTAACGAGATGGGCGCAGGTTTTCTACTGTAGTACGGCATGGTGACGGTGGGTGAGCACAAGTGAGCACGAGTGCACTGGATTCCCCGAATTCACCCGGTCCTTTTGATCTTTCTATTCAGTTCTTATTAAGATGTGTTCTGCCTGCCTGTCTGTCTGTCTGTCTGTGTGTGGGATTATTATCTGGCAGCAATAAGTTAACTGATGGAGCCACCCAAAAACGGAGGGGGAGGAGGGACCGACTGGGATTGAGAGACACACGACTAATCCGTAACGGGCCCCGGAATGTGGAGTACGGTTGAGCGACGATCATCGGCCGAATGAGCGGCGCCAAATCCAGGTAAGGGCGGCAAGTCACTTCCCAAATCCCCAGATTTCGCTTTCAGCTTTCCCCGTGATCGGTGACAAGAGCTTGAGCAAGCTGTGGCAACAGCACAGCACGGTAGCAGCAGGCAGCGAAGCAGCAAAGCAGCAACTCTGTCCTCTTTCACTTTGCGGAACCGTGATGCGGAGGTACAACAACAACAACAACAACAGGAAAAGGCACGAATTATAGATTAAGCGGGCGAGCTTGGGAGATCCCCACGTGCAACGAAACGGCTGCAACTGCCGGCGATCGAATCGGTCGCGACCAGCCGCGGCCCAGGTTCTGGCTGAAGCTGAGGGCTCTTCCTTTGTTACAGTTCGCAGCGGACGTATCACAAACAAAAGCAACCAAAGGGAGTCGGGCGCTTTCACGAGCTCTCCCCACGGATAGGTAGAAGGTGGAAGTGAAAGTGGAGGAGGGGAACGGGAACAATAGAGAAGAAAACGAAAGAAGAGGAGAAGATGGATGGTAATAGTCGAGCACAGTCCACTCTGCCAAGTCAATCACAGGGAAAAAGGAATCGAGGAATGACTTGACAAGTTGACAGTTAATCCCAAGATCGACTGGGGATTCGAGGGAGCTTAAGAGGACCAAGAGGTGAGCAAAAAAGCTCGGCCAACGAAAACTGCAGCTGAGCTCGTCAGAAAAAGCTCGGCATGGCGGGGTATCACCAACAAAGTAAGAAGAATTGGGGAATATGGGAGAGGGGAGAGGGGAGAGGGGGCGAGAGAGAGAGAGGAGTGGAGATGAGAGGAGAGGAGAGAAGAAAATAGGCTGATCAATTTAACTCAATACTCAGTAACTCAGTAACTCGATTCACACAGCAGATAGACCTATCCCTTGCATGAGTGCTTGAGTGCATGAGTGCTTGACTGCTTGACTGCTTGACTGCTTGACTGACTGTGCCGTACATCGTAACTACTACTCCAGACCTACCGAATACTTAACTCATACTACTGCACACTACGGAACAGACTGAGTATTCTTACCTCTTGAAAGAGTTGCAAAGTGTCACCGCAGCCCTCTTGAGAAACTCGAGCCTGGAATGTGCATTGCATGCAGGCGACCGAACTGCTTATTTGTACTTGATCAGAGCTCGAACCAGGGATCCAACCCAACCCATCAATCAGTCAGTCAGTCATTCATTCATCACATTCCATCCCCCTCCAACCACCGCCCATCGACCCGTCGCCCTCCCACGCTGAGTTGGTCGAACGATCGTCGTCGCAGCGTCAGTGTCATCTCATGGGTCAATCTTTTTCCATTTTCGACACCTCTACAGCCTTCGTCCCTGATGTATGTTACATTCGGTGTCATTCCAAATGGCGAAGAAAAAGAAATAATACATGCATGATAGCGAAAGAGAAAAAAAAAAGCAAAATTAAAAGAAAACGCAACACAACACAACGGGCAAATAGCTGCTCACCTCCCCCCGAAATGGATGATGCATGCTCGTCGCTCGACAGATCAATAAAAAAAGAATAGACAGACCTAACGCCCATTTTTCGCCAGTACATCAGACGATAGATGCATCTTCCAACTCCCCAAACCGTTTTGAATATGCAGACAAGAAAATAGAGACCCGACCGCTCCTCAATCCCCCCCCACCCCTCCCTTCCTCTAGGCATCTGTTTTTCTCTTCTTCTTGGCTGTCTTTCGCGCTGCAGTAGCTACAAAGGCCTCCTCCGGGGGTTCGTCCATCTTGGCCGCCCGCTTTCGACCGGGTTGGCCGTACTGCTGCTCCAATCGATCGAAGAAGGCCTCCGCCCGCGTGGCCTGCCGTTGCTGAATCATCTTCAACAGCTCGTTGTCCCCCATGGCACCATCGTTCTTTTTCGAGGTCTTCTTGCCGCCCTTGCCGTTCTTCTTGACCGAATGCTTCTCCTCGACCTCCGCTGCCAACGCCTCCGCCTCCTTGGCCTCCTTCTGGGCTCGTTTCACTCGCCGCTCGCGCTTCTTCGCCGGCTCCTCCACGTAGCTCTTGTGCTTCTTCGCGCGGCCCTCCGCGATGGCGCGGTCGATGATGGCCCGGAAGCGCTCATCGTCATCCAGGACATTGCAGAGCAGCACCGACTCGTAGACCTTATCCAAGTCCCCCCGGTAGGTCTCATACGCCGTCAGCACGTCGCGCGCCTCCTCCTCGGAGCCCTGATACTCGTGCTTCAGCTTGTCGATGGCGCTGGTGTCAATGGCGCTGGAGAACTGCTCGCGGTAGAAATCCGCCCAGTTGAAATCCTCGTCGACGTCGACCGCCTCGCTGGTGCTGCCGGTCAGGTCGTAGCGCTCGCGGCGCTTCCCGTCGGAGAGGATGGCGTAGGCGAAAGCAATCTGCTGGAACGTCTTGTTTGCTTCATCTCGCTCGTCGGCTGGGACCTTGTCTGCGGCAGTGGGAAAGAGGTTCGGTTAGGGTCGGGCATGATTGCGGTCTATGGATGTGAACTTTTCAAACATACCAGGATGGTGCTTGAGCGCCTGTTTCCGATAGGCCGACTTGATCTGGTCTGCGGGAGCATCGCTCGAGACGCCTAGGATCTCGTACAGGTCGGTCTCTGGGCTGGGAGGCTCGGGAGACTCGCTGTCGAGACGAGGTTCAGGAGACTCGCTATCGCGTAGTGATTCGGGCGACTCGCTTCTAGGCGGAGGCGCCTGAGCTTTGCTCTTGCGAGGCATTAGAAGAATTTCTAGCCTGGCTTAAATCGCTGCGAGGGTGAAGCAGAGCAAAAACAACGAGGAACGTCAATATGTCTCGCCAGAAGAAAAAGTGAAGTGAGAGAACGATTCAGTCAGACGCGCCACGCGGACGCGAATCTCCGGTCGGAAGCCATTAACTGTCATCATCCGGAAGGCGGTAGGTCCCGGCTGTCGTGGCAGAACCTCATAGCAAATCTGACCGCCTTTTATCGATAAGGCCCCTCCCTCACTTAGGTTTAGAGCTTCCCCCGCGCTGATGCGGTCATTTCATAGCTGCTCATTTAACGTTTACTTCGCTAGCTTGAGCTCAGCTTCAATCCATCCATCTACCCGCCCAAAGAGACCATACACCACCAACAACCACTTCACACTTCAACTACCACCATCGACCCCACACACTCCAGATAGATACCACAACCCACCACCCACACAAAGAAAATGCCCTCCCCGCACCTCAAATACATGCGCGCCTGCCTCGCACTCGCCGAGAAATCGCCCGCGCGACCCACCAACTTCCGGGTGGGCGCGCTGCTCCTTTCGCGGCACGAAGACGACACCACCCTCGAGAAAGACGACCAGCTCCTCGCGACTGGCTACACGATGGAGCTCGACGGCAACACGCACGCCGAGCAGTGCTGTCTCGCCAACTACGCGGCCACCCACAACGTCCCCGCCGACCGCGTGGCCGAGGTGCTGCCGGCCGAGCCCGGCCGGAAACTGGTCATGTATGTGACGATGGAGCCGTGCGGGCGCCGGCTGTCGGGGAATACGCCGTGCGTGCAGCGGATTATCCAGACGCGGGGCGCGGGTCCCGCTGGAGCAGAGGGAAACGGGCGCGGCATCCAGAAGGTGTACTTTGGGGTGAAGGAGCCCGGGACGTTTGTGGGCCAGTCCGAGGGGTGCAGGCAGCTGACGGCGGCGGGGATTGAGTGGGAGGTGGTGCAGGGGCTGGAGAGGGAGATCTTGACGGTGGCGACGGCGGGGCATGAGAATCGCGAGGCGGAGGTGCGGGCGGCGATGGAGACGGTCGAGACGAACATTGATGATATCAGTGCGGAGGAGCGGAGGAGGCAGGCGCAGGTGCCCAGGAATCCGAAGAAGAGGGTTATGGAGGGGGAGTTGATGGGGTGATTGGGTTGCTGGTGGTTTTGGGAGGGTACTGTAGATGAATTGATGATAACGTGTATATATGTAGATCGCAACGATGGTTGTCGTGTGCAACAGTGCTGGTGAGGCTGGCTGGGGCTCGGTCTCTGGTATGGAACAAGCAGGCGATAGTTAGCCTTCTAGAGGATGGAGAGCGATAATATGGTTCTGTCAGCGGCCTGTCATTTCTCGTGTAGATCTCCTCAAAGAACTACTTCGATCCTGAAGGATAATATTGTAATTGCAAGGTTGACAAGCTCTTTCAGTAAGGACTTGACTTTAAAAAAAGGAAATTGACGACTTTGGCGACACAGCAAAGAGCCAAGACTAGGGCTATCTTTAACGCGGCGATATTTGCACTATAGCCAAGGCCCTTCCACACAAGACCAGAAATGCCCATCAACTATGTCCATCCAAGAGCCGTCTAACATCAATATCACGTAGCAGATCCTCATGCTCTTTCCTCAAATCCGCAGGCGTGTTCTCCTCAAACCAGAACGCCCACGTACTCCGCGTATTGATCTCGAGATTATCCCGACTCGACTTCAGACCCACATGCTGCAGCTGCTGCGGCGCGAGAGCATACCGGGTCAGACCATGTGCATCTGCATATTTTTCGATAATCGAGTCCGTCTGCCCGGCCTTCACCTCGCTCAGATGAGCGATCAACGCGTCGACCTGGTCGCGAGGAATAACCAACCCCTGGGTACAGCAGCCGTGGGCGTTCATCTCCACCACGCCGCTCAGGGGCATCAGACTGTATTTGCCGACCATGTAGACCAGTCCAATCAGAGCCGGGAGGCTGACGAAGGAGATCGCACCGATGGCCGGGTAATCGAGGTAGGCGTGACTGGCCGGGTAGGAGCGGCGGACGGCCATGAGCGCGGCGAGCAGTGACAACGATGCCCCAATGAAGATCCAGCCCATGTTGCGGTAGGCAAAGTCCGCCGAGGTCCAGCTCAGCGCAGTCTCCGTGAAGAAGAGCCGGAGGTAGACCCACGGTTTGTTTTGATTGTTGTGTTCGAGCTCCTGGATTTGAGCGATCTCCGACAGGCAATTGAGGGTCTTGGCCATCCTGCCGTCTGCTACGATGATATCGTCTTCGAACATCGTGAGATAGGTTGCATTAGTGGCCATGCAGGCCGCGAGCGCGTGGATATAGTCACTGAGAATGGAAACAAGTTGTCAGAGGTGACATGCTCCCAGTCGCAGCTCACTTGGCAAGATTACTCACAACACTCCCTTCTCATAGAAGTTCCGCGCCTTTTCCAATTCCTGCAGGTGGTGAAACTGTTCCAGGGAGATGTTCTGGTATGATCCAACGTGATTCGCTAATCGATGCATCCAGTTCTGTCCCCAGCTCGGATGCTGGCTGGGATCCGTGTCTACGAAGATGATGTTGAGGAAGAGAGCACGGCGCTCCGGCGGAGTCAATCCCTCGAGCAGAGACCCCACCGAGGCTTCGAGTTAATTCTCCTCCTCGCGCCTCACGGTCAGGAAGGCTGCGCAGACCAGCGGGTTCGATCCTGCTCCTGTGTAGGAGGTGAAGTTCTCTGCAAGGGTGTTGTGGTTGGTGATCAGGCGCCGGGCCTCGTGTTCCCGGTAGAGACTGTATCTCCATTCGTAGACATGGCGGTCATTGAAGAAGGCCGAATGAGGATCTCGCCAGAACCGAGTTCGACAGTAGGTGTAGGCAATCGACCAGAGGAGTGCGCTGACCAGGAGGACTTTGATGGCGTTGGATCGTCGGAGTTTTCGAAGTGAGAGGGACTTCAGGGTAGGTTGGAGGATCTGCATGGTTGGTGAGCGGCCAGGGTGCGGCCTGATGTTGACAAAGAAGAGAGATGAAAGGAAACACGGTAGGCACCCATGTTAAGTAATGAGACTAGTTCTGCCTGTCTGCCTAGGCTGTAATTCATGTAGACTTGCATAGGATGACCAGGATGTGTGATTGCTTTTCTCCACAGGTTTAGCACCGCACCAGAATTATCTTTGGGTATTATTGCTTGATACGAGTGGGTATCATTGACTAGACAGACAGCAAGTGTCAGCTACCATTGCCTTCAATGAAAGAGACAGGCGACCGAGTCCAACTGTTACACAGCGAGTGATGGAATCACACCCACTACACTGACTTGGCAGATCCACTGTGATCATCTGCTCAGGCTGGGCAATGCGAAGTCTTTATACATGTCTGTCGAGGCAGATCTAGTCAAGCCAGACATCTCCAGGCCTATTATTTTGCCATTCCCCAAACAATGAATAGGAAACCGAGTTTCCCCACGCCACTCGTCTAGAAGTTCCCTGGAGATCGTGGCCATGACACCCAACTTGCCGTAGGATATGGCTCGCTTGCTTGCCTTGCTTTCTCAACTTTAGTTCATGCTCTGAGACAAAGTGGGGCGCCATCCTCAGGGTCCAGAAGATGACTGGCTCTCCCCACAGACTATTGCATCCGACCCTTCATTAAGAGTGACACGATGTGTGTGCAGCCCTATAAGAACTGCTATAGATCCCTGACCAGGCATCAAGCGCGTCCACCCCTGCTCGCACAGCTGATAGTGGGTGTAGCACCTTGGCTTTAGGTAATGCAATAACACACGGAGGAAGGTCCCTCGTCCTGTCCGACGGTAGCCTCTTGTTTCTGGACCAGACACTGTCCACGGGCTGACCATGCTGAATCCCCGGAAAAGGCTTATAGCCGGGCCATGATCTGCACCAGCCAGTCTCCAGCCTGGCACGTCTCTATGCCGGCCAGCACGAATTCCGCTTCCCTGCCCAATTTAGTGGCCTCTGCTCGGGTCTCGTCACTTGCAACCGTGGTGAGGATCATCAACTCCCACATCTCGTAATCGAACCTCCCATCCCCGAGAAGACCGAGGTTGGTAGCGATGCATCCGTTGAAACAATCGTCGTTCGCTTCCGTCAAGCATATCTCTTGGAATCGGGCAAGCAGAGCTAGCAGCTCCGTTGATGCTGCGTTGTCGATGGGAGCTTCCTCATTCTCTCGCCAGGAAACATCTCCCGCTCTGTGATGATGAGCTGGGGCGTGGTTATGCTTTGGAATTCTTAGCATTCTCCATTGCACTGTGTCGTGTTGAAATGCAGGGATCGCTCCCACTCACCAGTGTAGCCGCGACGAGCGGAATTGACATGAGGAAATATACAAGACCCTTCATCTTGGCTTGCGAGGTCTTAAGCGCGGTGGAACTTGTTAAGATGCAGGATTCGAGGTATGTTACTGCGAATTATTCGCGCATGGGGTTAAATCGAGCAGTCTCCTTGCAAAACTTCAGGAGACGCCTGTGGATGTTCGAGCGATCATGCTCGTTTATGTGCGAATGGTTTCCCTGCCAGACTATTGCGCTGCAATGCGACTACCGGTGTATAATATTGCTTTCTCGCTGAATATCATGCAAGGACACCGTATAGTTCAGAATGGATGGAGTAAGGATCGTCAGGACGCTGTCTCTTGACAGCGGGCCGGCTGGTCATGGAAGATGATCATCAATGCTATTGTTGATCGGTGGGTGGAAAGCTTGTTTGGGCCATGCGTGGTGTGATGGGATATGAGCAAGATGGTAATGTATGTGAGTCAACAAAAGCTCAACAAGTCGTGGAACCATTGGGAAGTGGCAGAAGGACCAGCAGATGTGGTGATGGCATCGCAAGCAAGCCAAGGTGTAAAAGGTCTAACATGACAGTGTCAGTTGTGGCGGATCATCTTTTACGAGATATTCATGAAGCAAGTCTAGCGCCCATTTTTGGTCTAGGATGAAATACAAGTGGTATCTACGTAGTAGCATGCAGCGCGCGCGGACAACAATCGCAATACAATGTGTGAACTAGAACCCGGACTTGGTGCACACCACTCTCACAACAAGAATAAGCCACACGATTCCATAATAGTACTTCACTCTCTTCTCGGCTTTCCCGGGTCAGAGTACTGACGACTAACAGGCGACGTGGCAGCATTAGCATCACACGTGGAGAACGCGGAGGGCGACAGAGAGGAACGAACCATCCCCAGATCGCCCAGCGACATGACGTCGTTAACGACCATGCATTCCCCGATCGATCCAGCCAACATCCACTCATGATTCCTTTAAATAACTCACCACCTGGCCCAGAACACCGTCTAGCTCTCCCCCCCCTCCCTTTGAAAACAATATTCTATAGCATCTTTCCAACACCACAACCCGACCCGACAAAATGCCGTGGTCAATTGTCCTGCCGCAGGCAGTCTTCACCTCCCCGCTCCTCTCCGTCGCCGCCCCCATCGCCGCCGGCACATTCATCGGCTTCCAGACCAACAGTAAGCCCTCACCGCATCAACCCACCTCCCCCACCTCCAACCAAGCAACCGAACTCTACCTCAAAATCAATCCCTAACATACAAACAGAACAATCCCGCACCAAATCCGTCTACCGCAACCTCCAAAAACCCCCCCTCTACCCACCCGCCTGGCTCTTCGGCCCCGTCTGGACCGTCCTCTACGGCCTGATGGGCTTCGCCGCGCACCACGCCACCGTCACCGGCACCACCGTCTCGCCGCTGGCCTCCGCCTCCCTCCAGGAATGGACGGTCCACTCGCAGGGCCTCTACGCCTCGCAGCTGCTGCTCAACTACCTGTGGATGCCGCTGTTCTTCGGCCTGCGGAAGCCAGCCTGGGCGCTGGCCGACATGCTGCTGCTGGGCGGCAACGTCGCCGCCCTGATGCACTCGTGGTACCAGCACGACCGCCCCGCGTTCTGGATGCTCGTACCCTATGCGGCGTGGCTGGGGTTCGCGACCTACTTGAATGCCGGCGTCGGGGTGTTGAATCGGTGGACGATTGGGGAGGGGGAGGCGGAGGGAGAGAAGGAGGAGTAATTGGACTACCGACTTACTACTTACTACTTAGTATCTTGATAACACTTGGTCCTGATTCCCTTAATAGAGATTACCGGGGGAGAACCCCCGGGCCCCCCTTTCTTTCAGCTTCCCAGTAACACTCAATCCTAAATCCCATAGTAAGAGATTCCCAGGGGAGACCCCCGTACCCCCCCAATCTCCATATCCATATAAAGAACAACCGTTATCACCACGTGACCACCAATCCCCAAACATCCCAGCCCACGTACACGTACAAGGCACCCCTCCCATTCCCATCTTCTCAACCACAAACCTGAACACCCTGAAACAACCCAAAAATGGCCCCATGGCGCCCCCCGAACCCGACGCTCCCGAATTCTACCCAGCCTACTGCTTCCGAGCCTCGCCAACCCACTTCACCTGGGTAAAGATGGCCGTCGCCGACGTGCGCCAGCTGCACCGCCGGCCCGAGTATCCAGGTACCCAACCCCAACCACCTAATCAACACACGTTCCAATGCTAATACTAATATGATGGGGATGGGAAAAGAGGGAATATTCTTCCACAAGAACCACCCCATCCGCTTCATCGCCGTCGCAGGCCTCATCACCGCCCGCACCGAATACCCGCGCGTGACCGTGCTCACCCTCGACGACAGCAGCGGCGCCGTCCTCGACGTCGTCGTCCAGAAGGCCGATCTCTGCGCAGAGCCCGTAGCTCCAGCAGCAGCAGCAGCACCCGCACCCGCAGTCCCATCCGCAGTCCGCGCAACCACCCAGCCCGAGCAGCCAGCGCAGCGGCACATCGCCCCTACAACATCCCACCCGCTGGATATCGAATCCCTCGTTCCGGGCGCCCTCGCGCACCTGAAAGGCACCCCGTCCAGCTACAGAAGAACGGTCCAGCTGCAGCTCGAGCGGTGCAGTGTGCTCGGCGGCGTGGACGCGGAGATGCGGTTTCTGGATCAGCGCAACCGGGTGCGGGTGGAGGTGCTTGGTGCGCCGTGGGTGCTCGGGGAGGAGGAGGTGGCGCGGTTGCGGCGCGAGATGGTTGCGGAGGAGGAGAGGGGGGAGGCGGAGGTGGCCAGGGGGAGGAGGCGGGCGAGGAGGAGGGGGGAGAGGGAGGAGCGTGACGCCCGGAAGATCTGGGAGAGGTGGGAGGTGGAGGAGGGGATGAGGGAGAGGGAGGCGGCTGTGGTGCGCGGGGCTGGGGTGGAGTTGATGCGGGTGCTGAGGGGGACCAGGCTGAAGAGGGCCGCGGGGGACGATGGGGATGGGGACGGGGATGGATCCAGGAGACGGAGGTGGGGAGAGTAGGATTGACTTTTTTTCATCTTATGTATATAGATTTACACAGTGTCTTTAGGTGAGCCATGTATATATAAACTAAACCTTGATACCCTGCCTAGAATCAACGAATGTTATTGATACAATATGCCTAAAATGACTGACACGTGGCTAAGAATGTGATACAATCCCTCCCAGAAGCAAAGGGTCAGTCGTAAACGTTATCATCATGTCGTAACAAGCATCAAAACCACAGCGCTATCGAAACAGAAAACACAGCGCACGCACAATGGATATCTTTTCCAAAACAGACAGACCAAAACTAGGCGCAACAAAGCAAAGAATTTCAAATTCACCGGTACCCATATGTCTTGTAATCGTACCCGGTGCTGCCGGTGCCGCTGATCGGGTTGCTGCCATAATAGTCCTCGTCTGCACCCCAGCTGCTCCGCTTCTTCTCCTTGTCTCGCTCCCGGATTGCTTCGTAGAGTCTCTGATCCTCGGTCTCCGGGTCAAGGTCCTTGTACCGGCGACGGTCCTCGATGATGTCTCCCGGATGCGCGGGGTTGTTCGATCGGTAGTAATACTCCCCATCGGGATATCTGCTGTTTCCGCTGTGGGCCAAGAGATCACTCTCCGAATGACGATAGTCGGTACCACCGTTGCCACCTCGCGGGCTGCGCGGCCGGGCGAATGCAGTTGCCGGGCGCTGTGACGAGGGAGTCCCCACGCGGTAATGAGGAGCGTCCTGGCTATAGGTGTCTGGCACGCGGGTGGCAGACAAGGTGGGACTGTCTCGTGGGCCAGAGCTTGTGGTGGAGCCCGCATGACGGTGCGGGCCAGAGCCTCCTTCGTCGTAGACCTTTCCGCCGCCGACGTGTGCTGTGTATGGCTTTCTTTGGCGCTCGATTGGTCGCGAAGGCACCTCCTTGTCCTCTTCATCGTCGACTACAGCAGCCGTCGAGGCGGTTGCTGATGTGGTATGGTATGGCTGACGCTCGCGCTCACTCAGCGACGCAGTAGAATCCACTGAGCTCACTGAAGCCTTGCGTGCAGCCTTCTTGTGACGTTGTTCCGCAACCTGTTTCAATTCCTCTTCAGAAATCGGAGGCAGGTCGACGCCGCAGTGTCGCATGATGAACTGGTCAACTTCTTCCCTTAGCGACAAGTTAGGAATGTCAGGGAACAGTCGTCGTGGAATTTCCTTCGGGAAGCGCTCTCTTCGATTGTCGGGATTGTTGATAGGCATATTCAAAACGGCATTCTGGAAGCGCTCATACTCCTTCTCCGGGTGGGCCTGAATCATCAGAGTAGCCCATCGCTCGAACCCCCGCGGGGTCAAGCCTGGAATATCCGGTCTCTCGTTCAGCTTATTCTGCACGAGGTGATGTTCCGCCTCCACTTCGCGGAACAGCCTTGAGATGGAAGAGGTACGGTCATCGAAGATGTCTGTGACTGAGTCAGCGCAGCTCAGAATCGGTAACACAACTCTACTAACCTTGCCAGGGATAAGGATCAGACGGTATATTGGTATCCTCGTAGAACTTCTGCAGTTTCTCAGGAGTAACCACCAGGGTGTTGCCAGGTGGATAGTCCTCGATCTATTGTTGTTTGACCAGTCAGCCTCACATGCCCTGGATATTCGTTCAGCGAATGTGCTCACCAGATGAACCGCGACTCCACGTAGAAGCTGGCCCAGCCTCTCCGTTGGCTTGCCCTTCTCAAACAGTTTGCCCCAGATCTTCTCCAACGTTGTCATCTCCGTCACTGTAACCTCTCGCGATGGTGCCTTTGGCCGAGAAGATTCCACGCTATGGCTATGATCACTGAATTGACTCGCAGGTGAGCCGCGGCGGTCGGTCGAAGGTCCAGACGATGGGCCCGGGTAGAGATGGGGACTGGCTGGGCGCCCTGTGGGCGGCACGGGCGTCGGATAGTCACTAGTATCGGAGCCGACCTTGGGCGGAGGCGGTGGAGGAGCAGCTTGGGGAACCGTGGTGGGATATGTCGATTCTCCATAGGCGGGGGTAACGGATTGCGGGGGAGGAGGAGGAGCCCATTGCGGCGACGACACTGACGGGTGCTGTTGATCGCCGTGCAAACCGTCCAAGCCCGTTGCTTTCAGCTGTTGTATGACCGTCGCCGTGATCTGCGACACCACATCCGGAGACAAATATGCCGGTGTATCAGCCTGGCGGAAGGCCGAGTTGACAGCCTCATTAATTCTTCCGGCAGGCGGTTGTTGCTGGGGTTGTTGCTGGGGCTGCTGCCAAGCATTGGGGTCATATGGCGGTTTGTTGTAATAGTTGCCCGGCGAGGAGGGTCGGGGAGGCACCTGGGGCTGAGGGATATTCGGCTGGTCAGTACCATATTGCGCTGGGTATTGCGCTGGGTATGGAGGAGTGTATGCGGATGCGCGGTTCTCGTTGGCATTCAAATGGTTTGGGTGTGGATATTGGGGATATGAGCCGCCATTATTAGGGAAGCCGTTGTACGCCATCGGATCGGGGTAGTAGGTGAGAAGGCAAAGTCAAAAGATTGTTGCCCTGCGCTCTAGCACCGGCACAGGATGATCATCGAAGCTATTGTACTGGGATGAAACGCTGGGACCGCAAGCAAAGAAGCGGGGAGGGGCTTCAGGTAGAATAACGGCAAAAGAAGGAATGGAAAAGTGGAATGCAACGCTGGTGTGGCGAGGCGATTAATTTTCTTTCTGGTGTGTTCCGTGAGAGGAGCAAAGAATGGGGTAGAATCAAAGAAAGAAAGGCCTCGGAGTGATCGGGAGAGAGTGAGAGAAACCAAGAGAGAGTGAGAGACAGTGGGTTGCGTGAGAGTGAGAGACTAGAAGAGGGAGGGTGGAGGGGAGGGGCGGCGGGCGGCAGGCAGGCAGGCAGGCAGGCAAAACGGGCGGCGGATCTTGAAACAAACCGTCTAGCGAATAATTTACTTGCCAGTTGGGCAAAAGTCACGGGGAGAACTGACTGCCAAAAATAATGCAAGCAGGGCAACCCTGGTGGAGCGCTCGGAAAAATGAATTCTGTAGTCCGAAGTAAAATGTCAGAAGATGAAGAAAACAGCAGCAGCAGCAGCAGCAGCGAAGAAGGGAAAGATAAGAATCCTCATACTCTGCCATACGTCATGTAAAGTCGGCGGATATGCGGGGAAAGCAGAAAAATAATCATCGTGCTAAAACACTGCACCGTCTCCTCCCCCTCCAAACAAACAGCAAGCAGCAGCAGCAGGCAAGTATGCGAGTGACTCCTCCCTCCCCTGGTCCTAAACCCCCCGGATTCGAGGGTCGCACACCATGCCACTTCATCCTCCCACCATATTCGGATAACCTCCATGTTCATCAATCGCCTCAGTGGTTGGAGACATTTCGATGCAATGCAATTCGGGGAGGTCGTGCGTCTGGGTTGTACTTAATGGGCCAATGCCAGTCAGGATCTATACCTCGAAGTACATGGAAATCCAGGAATGCTGACGTACTCACCAGGGGGTGTTCTCGAGCTTTGGCCCTCGACGCCTTGTGAGCCAGATTGGTGACAACCATGGTACGCTGGTGGGCAACGGGCCGCCTTAGTCCCTGGGTAGCCCCAGGTAGGTTCCAAGGACCCTTCAACATCTAAAAATCTAAGAAGTAAACCATGCGAATCGAGTTGGAAATGTCAAAAGTCAGTTCTCCATTGTTGCAAGGTCAGAAGATACAAAAAGCCACGGCAAAAGAAGCTCATCCACCACCAATCTCCCATCACGCATATCAGCTGCTGAAAAAAAAAAAAAAAAAAACAAGAGGCAGAGGCAACATGTAAACGGAGAACGAAAGAGATAGAAAGACGTTAGCAGAAAGACTTAGTAGAACGATCAAGAAGCTTTCCCCTGAGTCTGTACATGTATACTCAGTTGTACCTGGAGTACACCTGTGTACCGGCGCGTGGCCCGCTTACAGCCAGTTCTCGAGATCTTCTTCGTCCTCATCCTCGTCCGAGGGAACAATATCGTCGTTAGGCTCAGGAACACGCATGGAAGGCTCCTTGCCCTTAGGAATGCGTCTGCCCTGTACACAGTTAGTTAGCACCGGCAGTTTCTTTCATCGTTTGATCCATCCTGCAACGTACAGGGATCTTGGCCCATTTGCCGTCGGGTTTGTCGGGCTGGAGTTTCTCAGGCTCGTTGTTGAAATAATCTTCATAACGAGTCTCCGGAACTTTCTTGTCCGGAGTGGCAACCTGAAACACTTGGCCATCAGGGCCGTGTCCCGCGAACTCGCGATCGTTCTTGGTGGTGACCAGAGCGCCCTCGTTCTTGCGGGCCCCGTCCTCGCCGCCAGCATTCTCGTCATCGGCACCGTCATCGAAGGAGCGGTTGTCAGCGATGTTCATTTTCTGGGCGGATTGGGTCAAAGCAGTAACTCCACCCTGGCTCTGTGCTTCAGTCAACTACGGAACGCATTCTAGAGCCCGTGTATGGAACAACTCGATACTCACGGTTGAAGTGCCGCTGGCCGTAACCGTAAGGTTGCCTGAGAACTGCCGCTGTCTTTCTGGCATCGGATCCACCTCCAGGGCGTTCTGAACACAGTTCAGGCATCTCTGATTGGCATTTACAGTCAGACGACGTCTTGTTGCCTCGAACTGGATAGATGTGCAAGAACTTACCGCGGTGTCACGATCTCCACGCTGGTTCTTCGCAAAATGCTCCAGAGTCTTGGTCTTGTCGCAGATGGAACATTTGAGCTCGACGATGCATCCACCAATGCATTGGCGGCAGCGGGCCTCGCATCCACCGTCAGCGGCTCGCTTGCCCTGAAGCACGATGGCATGGCGAATGATTTCCTGCTGGCGCTTGGAGTAAGAGGCCACAGTACGGTACTTCTTGCAGCTGGCACATTTGACTCTGTGATCTTGTCAGTTACAAGGTCTATATCGGATATATCAGAGGGGCGTAATCCTGACTTCTCTGGGATGATGGTGTTGTTGATCCTATATCAGAGTCGCAAGAGTGAGAATGGTATATCAAGAGAGTATCCAGTCATTAGGAAGACATACCGCTCTCTGAGAGCGTCACTGTAGCCGCCTCCGTAGGCACTGGGAGCCTTTCTGGTCAGACTCATGGTTGCGGTAGGTCTTCGTGATGTCACGTGCTGTGTAGTTTATGGCTTCAGAGACAACCACGAAATGCTGAAAGGCGGTGAGAAGCGAAAGAATCAGAGAGGAGAGAGAGCGCACTGAAGTTGCGGTGGTGTTGGCCAGGCCTCAGTGATGTCGAGTGAATGGAACCGTCGTCAAGGTGACTGGTTGTGTTATATCCCCACGGGGCCAGAACCACACAGTGAATATATCCAGTCGCTCTCTGCCATCACCAGGAGTACGCGCCCAGCAGATTGTCCTGAGAAAGACAGTTGTGATCAAGGGCCAGAGCACTGTCGATGAGTTGTCAAGGAGCGAGAGTCAGTCTATACATTTCTGTTTTAGGAAGGTGTCAGTCAGACGGTGGGGTTTTGAAGTTTGTTGTATATAAACTACAACCACACGCGGAAGCCCACATCAATAACGACTTTGGTGCTGTTTGGCCCAGGAAAAACAAGACAGTATCTGCTACTGACATAGATTATACATGCATAGTACATTTCCAGAAGCAAGACAACAACTATGCTGCCATCACGATGCTATTGCATGGTGTTGTCGTTTGTCAATGCTCATGCCTTGCAGCCTCAGTACAGTACATACTGCTTCAGTGACACAGAACCGTCTATAGCTCAGGACACACAGCACAAGGAGCTTTGAAAGTGCTCACAGTTTACTTCTGAAACTGTCAACAACAGACCCAAAGGCAAAGGACAGTCCTCCCGGAATGCTCCCAGCCATCCCGTAGCCGTTTGCAAGAATCCCAGAGAGCCAAACAGGCCGGTATGACACAACTGTCATGTCAACATCGGCGGAAAGCTCGGACTGTGTTACATATAGCAGAAGGAAGATATAAGGGAAATGATGTAAGAGTTAGGCATGCAGAAGATGAAGATGATACACGTCAAGAGCGGAATGACATCTGCACCGGGGTGGCAGGTAGATAGCTATACCTACAGTTGCTATGGCACATCAGTTCCAGAAGTGGGTAAGAGGCCCCAGGTACCAGGGGGGCGCTGTCCGTCAATATGATGTCGGAGGCAAACGACGATGGACGGGATCAGGGCCGATCTGGCGTGCAGCATCGCGGGAGGACTGCAGGCACCCTGGTCCCTACTGCAAAGCACAGCCGCTCATCCAGCAATCATGTTTCATCCCAGCATCCAGGGACGCCAGCTCTCATCTCGCTTGGCTAATGACAAAGAAGAAGGGCCTCTTGCCTTGGATGACTGATCCAAATAGCCCCTGAACCTGCTCTAATCCGTACCAACCTAGCCGATTCCTACAAACACAGACTCATAAGCACCTAGTCCGTTAGCGAAACACACAGCGTAGCAGCTAAAGGGGAGGAATAGCGCTGGCTGTTGTCCATACGAGAAGAGACCCTTTCCGGACAGCCGTACTTTTGGTTATTGTGCTTGTGGCGAAGGTTTCTCAAATGCAGGATGGAGGACTACTATAATAGACTAGGTAAGTTAGTTCTCTTGGTGGAAATCCCTAGTGGCGTTCCAGAAACATGTTTAGCCGTGTCTTGCGCAGGCGATGTTCGGTTGATCCTCCATGATGCGGCGTGGAAATGGCTGCCGCAGTTCATCCGGGCCAACGGTCACTGGGAATGCAGGCCAGATACGAGCACTGCTAGGTGATCGAAAGTATCCTTTTTTTGTCCGTCTATTCTGTTTTTTTGCCCTACGAGAGGGATTGAGGATTGAGCGATTTTCTGTCCCCTGTAGATCCTTCCACTCCGCTTCCACGCAGCTGCCTTGATCCTTCTAGAACTCTCGTGGAATGCGACGGCTTCGAAAGCTATACCGTAGTAGTCCATGGTATAATAGCTAAGGTAGCTAAGAGAAGTGATAGCAGCTTAGGATAGGCGGGGCTGAAGCAGTGTAGGATGCTAAGGATGCTAGAGATGCTAAGGATGGAGAAGACGGTGAAAGAAAAGGCAGAGTCGCCAGCGTGGAGATGGGAGATGTTGCGACGAGACAGAAAGAGTTCCACTCCGACGACCACCACTGGTCAGCCGGGCGAGTCGGGAAGCGGAGACGGAAACTACACCGAGTGGGGATCCGCATTCCCCGAACGCCCCGGTGCAAACAGAGGCCGCCATGTTGACTCCACTAGCATCCACTGTCTCCTCCCTCACACGAATCATTCTCGCATTGGGACTCCACCCCCCTCTTAGGAGTCCAGGAGACTGGCAGGAGTCCAGGTAAGGTGGTGTTTGGAACAGGAATGGCCTCATGGAGTCATGGTCCATGGTCCGTCCATGTTCCATGAATAATCGAGGAAGAGGAGTCAAGTCAGGTCTGTCTGCGTCCCGTCGTCTAGTGCTCCGGACCAGTCAATCCACTCTTCCCTTTCTGCGCTGGTGCCCGAAGCTTTCCCAGAAATCTTATTCAAGTCTGTTCATGGTTGACTTCCAACCCTTTTTCGACTGAGTAATCACGCCGGGTGTTTGGCTGCTGATTTAGTTGCATAGTGCTTTGAATGATAGCCAATAACTCAACCCTCCTGAAAGCTGGACGCCAAGGGACCACGGATATTAGTAAGGGGGAAACAACAAAGCTCGGAGTAACTAAACTAGACTATAGTACCCTACGTAGTGCCGTTCAGATTGTTTCGGAGTAGCGGACATGGCTCCCTAAACAAGACAAACACCGCCAGAGGAAAACAGAGAGACAATTGTAGTCTAGTAGTCGAGTTAGTACTTAGGACAGGCGGAGTATCAAACATCAACTTGACAGGATCCAGTAGTATGCACTCCAGATTGTTCGCAGACAGCCCCTCCACGCGTCTTGCCCCTCCCCCGCCACTTTATTCTTTGATAGGCAAAAGAATGGCGTGAGAAAGAGGGTCAAAAGAACGGTAAAGAAAAGAAAAGAATGGGGGGAGAGGAGAAGCAAAAAGACGGTGACTGGCATAGCTTCGGGGCAGAGAAGATGGGCAAGGTGAAGGTAGAGGCGGTGACTACTGTGAAGGGCCGTCGACTCCGTTCCTCTCTTCCTTCCTTCCTCTGGCGCCATCCGCATACGTTGAACGGTTAGTCAACCTACTCTAAATTAACTAACTAGTAGGTAGTTAGCGAATCCATACTGGAATTATAATCACTCACCGTATGGTCTACGGAGCACATCGGATTTCCGCCAACTTCATCTCAATCTGGGTTGAGGACGAGGTGGATGTTCGCTTGAATCGGAATTGTTCCCACAACCCGTCCCATCAGCCATTATGACAGCTGCTGGCTCACTGATCCCTCATGTTGCCAAGCGAAGCGTCGTAGCCTACGTACTTTCATGTTTAATGACTACCCTGTTTGCACGGTGTGGTCGCATCAGGATGTTCGAGGTTCGCAGTTAGCCGAGCAAACGCGACTAGCGACAACAATTGCTTGGTCGGTCATGAGGTTGGCAGCACCACGCCTACTAAACTACCGTAACGAGTTGGGTCACCCCACGGTCAGGATAAGACGAAAGCTTCGGACTGAAACTAACTACCTCGCAGTACCCATTCCGTCAACTAGACTATCATTCTCAAGAATGGGTTCCGTGACCTGGGTGGCGAAAAAGTCGCGAGGCAGGAGAAAGGTCAGGATCAGCCCGTAACTAGAGTAACTCATCGTAAACGATCCAGACCCGGGACAGCTGAGGATAGCTCAATCGTACTTTGAACCGGACGACCGGATCTGATCTCGCAGCTTTTAGCTACAGCTGATCAACATCGCCTCATGTACGATGAATTCAATATGTGAAGCCTAAGAACTGTGCATCGAAGCATCACTCTTTCAGCTGCATACTTCATTGGCGTCAGCCTTTGATCGCAGATTAGAATCCATCCAGCTGATCTACGTGCAGCTGCGCTGGGGCTCTCTGAAGTATCAACTGTGATGGGTGCATTGGGGGTGGATCTCGCGATGCTCAATCTCCCAATGCGGTAATATGTGTTTTGCCTACTGTAGCCATGGATCAGACGCCACCTCTCCAGGCATACATTGAAACATTTGTTCCATACATGATTATTGCTTTGAGGGGGATATTTATTGCAACATACTACGAGTCCTGAGGAGTATGCTAGCATGGGGTAACGACGTCAAACTGATTGCCTGGAGATCTAACAGTCTACCTAGTAAAGAACTCAGCCTCTCAGGGCACTGCGCCTCCGTCAATGTGGATTCATCTTCAGAGTTCCAACTACACTTTAGTTGTTCCATCACAAAGAAAATAGTCTCCCCGCGGAAATTGCGTCTTGTGCTTGGCCGAGTGACCGGAGATGAAGCATCGACTGATCGCGTCTGTACTGTACAACGGTTGGCCGCCATGAAGCAACAGCTCTTGCGTCTTTTTTGTGCCTTCCATTGAACTCATAGCAATTGACCGGTAGAGACACGCAATGCTCAAGAGGGGAAACCCGCCGCCCTGCCTTACTCCAGAAGTCCTGATGGGGCACAGATGCAAGCCACTTCCATGAGTTATTCCCCGAATAACAGTAACCTAAGCGTTCGGGTGGGATGGAAGATCAGATGTTACGGACAGCGGTGCCATGGTGGCGGTCAGCCACCCTGGGTGCTCCATAGCCAAACACAATACATGTCCATCCAGCCACTGTTTGTCGCTTTGAAGATGGAGAATGAGACACTACCACCCACGGATCCAGATAGAAACCACTACCTGCATGAACTGCAACCGCGCACAAAGTCCATCCCCCTCCATTCCCGCTTAGTCTGTGGGCCTGACTCATAGGCTACTTTGTTGTCTGCCAACTTTGAAGGGTCCCTCTGAGTTGGATGCCACCCAAAAAAACCGGTAGGCAGAATTCTGACTTGTCCACCGGCCAATTCATACTTATAGATCAGCAAGGAAACACATATTGAACTCTTATGTTTAGCGTGGCCCATCAGTGTTTATTTTTCCCCCCCGTCTCCTTGGGGATTTCATAAGGCGATGAGGTAATGCACGTCCCACACACACTCATCGGCCAGTTTGAGTAG